ATATATATAAAAATAAAGTTCACAAAAGTGGCGCCAATTCACTTCTTTTTCTGTATGTCAACAAATGAATCAACGTTAAAGGCTGCTTGCAAATATTTCAAGTTCTCTTTTTTTTTCTTCCTCAGATCCAATGTACTTTTTCAATGCTAATTTTAACATTTAAAATGTGACACGTACTTCATAGACTTCTGAGTTTTAGTTATCGTGTATAGCAACTCTATATGGCTAGTCGAGAGTTGACAAATAAATGCCTTTATTATATTTATTTCTCAACCATTTGATATTCGATAATTCTTTTAAAATGATTATAAATTGTTTGCGTTTCAACCCTTACAGCATCGACGACAGAAATAGAATTATTTTACCCCTAAGATTATGCATGTCGAGTACAAGAATTAAGAAAAACAATGTCTTAGTTGAAACGCAGCCTTTCAACTTATAACTCAATTTTTGAGTTTAAAATCCAGAATTTGAGTTTTAAAACTGACTAAACATGGCAAACAGTTGTCAAGATTTTTTGAATCCGTCAAACAAAGACAGAAAAAGGGGCCAATGCTCCACTTAACCACCCACAACCACTCTTGCACAAGAGGGTAAATTTAAAAAACAGGGGCGTACTCTAACTGATGGAGTGAGGACTAGTCACTCACTTATCGGCACTTTTAAAAACATTGAATGTTTCGTTTATCGAAACCATCAACCAGAGACGATTCTTTTTTTTCCATATGATTTGGAGGAGATATATTCGAGAGGGTTGTGCTTCCGCCAAAAAAAATCAATATCCCCAACCCCTCCCTACTGTTTTCCCAGAAGGCGATGGGATCGATATTCCGCAGCAAGCTGTCTTCGTAAAGAAGTGACTGAGTGTACAAATCGAAACAATGCTTGTCGATGAAATGTTTCAAGGGCGACTCCACACGTAGGAGTAAATAAATGATTTATAAAATTGATCAACACAACTCACATGTAAAAGGCAAGCGAAAAGCTTCCCAACTGCGGTTATTACTCAAATGGAGCAAGGATACAAAAATATTTATTTTGCATTCTTTATGCAAGAAAATAAAGTAATTTTCTTTTAAATGGTGAAAAAATGCTTTTTTCTTAATTAGATTGTGAGATGATATTTGGTTTCCTTCACTACAAATGGCACTTAAATTTAGCTTCTTTTTTATAAATTATTATATTTTTACAAATTTGAAACAATATATCAAAGCCTATTAAAAATACAGCTAGAAATTTTTTATAAATATAATTTTAGTTATTTTATTTTAATTTTCCTTGAAGAAATTTGAAAAATGTTTTTTTTTTAAGTTTTAGAAACTTTTTAAAACGCTGACATAAATTCGAAATCAAAAATTAAAGTATGAACATTTTTCTACAGAATAAATCTAATATTTTAATGTAGGAGAATATTTTCACTTAGATAAACTGAAAAAAAGAATTTTTCAGTTTTTTTTAATGAATTTTCAAAAAAAATAATAATCTAAAACTGCCTTGTAGAATATTCGCGAACATTTAGTACATTTTTATATATTCGTTAAAATCTTGTACAGTTTTTTTACATTTGTGAGCATTGTTACGTCACAAAAAAAGTTCAAAATAACACATAAAATTTAGTCAGTTACGTTAAACATATTTTGTATAGTTTTAAATATTTTAACTGCAATTCGCTGAGAACGAAAATTTTCGACTAATTTGTTGTTTTGAATGTTTTTAAACATTATATATATTTATATTTAAATTTTAATATTCATTAGTTTAGTTACTTTTATTGCATTTCCTAAGTTTTAAATGTGCTGTTTTTTTTTTTTTTTTTTTTTTTTTTTTTTTTTTTTTTTTTTTTTTAAGTAAGCTAGTTTAAATTACAAAGATGAATCTAGCTGCTATTATGTTATTAATACTACTATTACAAACTGTTTTACAATTATTAAACAGTAAATTAATAATATTTTTTTATTATAAGATTTGTGTGAAATTGCGTCTAGTCAATGCATGAAAATTGAAATAATAAGTAAAAAATTGTAAAATGTTAGTAGAATTTAAATCTTCTCACTATTTTTAAATACTCTAGTTGGAGAAAACATAAAAAGTTTTTTAGTAACCAAAAATTCAATAAAAATTTTTTAAAATAAAGCTTGAGGGGGAATTTTTAACAGTTATCGACAAAAATTACTAGCTTTAAATCACAAACTGTAATCTATTAGACATAATCTGTTGCAATACCATAAAAAAGGTTGGGGATCTTTTAATTAAATAATTTTTAATTTCGGTGTAAAATCAGTTTGAGATTCAAAGCAAAAGCCACTGCATAGTAATCATAGCATAGAGGCGCAGCTCCCTGATTTGATTATACTTATATATGAAATGACACTTCTAAAAATCATGCATACGCATACACATATTCACGTAATTCTTATAATCTTTAAATGAAATATAAATAAAAAAAATTTGATTTTACAATACTTAACAAATTAATAGTGTAACTGATAGACATTAGTAAATATTTATGTAAACAAATAATGTCATTACAAATTTGTATTATTTCCCAATGTAATTATTTAGTCACAAATCGGCGATAAAAGAGCAATTAGGTGCACAATTTATAGAAATAAAAATTCGCATTATAATATCAAATCTAACAATTAACAATATTATAGAAAACTAATATTTCGTAAGCTATAGTGTTATATAGAGAGACAAGAACCCAGTGATATTTTAAAATATAGCTAGTTTTCATAGTAATTTTAATTATTTCATTTTACATTTATTTCATAGAATTCATAAAATATATTGATAAAAGAATAGAATTTTAAAATATCGACACTATTGTATTAAAATCAGCTCATTGCTCGATAACTTTAAATCAATATATAAGTAAATATTGATTTGATAAATTTAATACGTATGGGTAACTTTACTACGATATTGAAATTTTGTGTAGTTAAAAAAATCACAGAGAAATCAGTTTTTTTAAAAAAAAAAGAATTCTAGAACTTTTTTTTCTTTTTGGAGATGTTTTACTTTTTTCAGATACTGAACTTTAATAAATTATTTATGTATGCAGTGTTCAAATTACAAGCAACACATTGCACTTAACTGTTAATTATTTAGATATAATACATAGCAAATATTAATAAATCTAAAAGTTGGAATAGGTTAAAGCAAACATTCACGCCGATAATTCCAAGTGCGGTTACAGTGCCATACAGTTCCACCGTAGTTTCAATGCACATATTTTAGATAAGAAATCACCAGTAAAATTACCCATACATTATACATTCAAAATAGAAACACAGTGAACTTAAAAAATAAATAAACATAATGCAATTATCTAAGTATTTAACAAATGGAAGCACAAAGGCTTTACTTATGTATTAAAAAATAGGAAAAGTGTTATAAGACATACATAAACAGAAAAATCATAATTTTTACTGGAAAATTAAGGGAAAATAATTCTCTATTTATGAAAAGTCATAGTGTTTTTTTAAAAAAAAAATCAAATATACCATGTTCTCTCATATTGAAAAAATTAGCCGGATCTAACATTTCATATTTTTTTGACAGATATAAATTATGTGTCTGCGTATTTTACTGAAACTTGAAAATAAAACAAATATCAATTTTAAACAACTCAGTTTCCAATAAATGCAGACTTTTTAACGAAACAACAGCAATACAAATTAAATTTGAAATTGATTCTTTTTTTAAAAAAAGAAGAAGAATACGTTGAAAGATGAATTCGGAAAAATCCCACTATTTTGAAAAATNAGTTCCACCGTAGTTTCAATGCACATATTTTAAATAAGAAATCACCTGTAAAATTACCCATACATTATACATTCAAAATAGAAACACAGTGGACTTAAAAAATAAATAAATATAATACAATTATCTAAGTATTTAACAAATAGAAGCACAAAGGCTTTACTTGCGTATTAAAAAAATAGGAAAAGTGTTATAAGACATACATAAAAAGAAAAATTATAATTTTTACTGGAAAATAATTCTCTATTTTTGAAAGTCATAGCGTTTTTTTAAAAAAAATCAAATATACCATGTTCTCTCATATTGAAAAAATTAGCCGGATCTAACATTTCATATTTTTTTGACAGATATAAATTATGTGTCTGCGTATTTTACTGAAACTTGAAAATAAAACAAATATCAACTTTAAACAACTCAGTTTTCAATAAATGCAGACTTTTTAACGAAACAACAGCAATACAAATTAAATTTGAAATTGATTCTTTTTTTTAAAAAAAAAAGAAGAGAATAATACGTTGAAAGATGAAATCGGAAAAATCCCACTATTTTGAAAAATTGACAACTTGTGATGAAATTTGATTTTAACTAATCTTAATAATTATTCACACCAAAATATGTGTGCAAAACAAATTTGCTACACAGTATTTTGAGCCGTTTTAAAGATATTTTTCAATATATAATATTAAGTAACAATATATTTTTTTAATTTCTTCGATCCTTTTTAACACAAAAATAAAATATGTTTGATTTCTTTCTTTTCGTGCAATACACTGTTTTAATAAATTGCTTCCTTACTTTACAGTTATTTGCCTTGATGCAGAGGGGAAAAAATAAGAATTTTAATCCACTTATTACTTTTAATTTCCAGACAGCTTTGATTTCTAAAATATTTTAATAAAAATACAAAAACAAACCCTAGATCTGATTTTGAAATAAATATTTAAATGCTTCATGATAGTTTTAAAATAATATATATAACCAATCAGAAAATCAAAAACTTTTGCAGAGGGGAAAAAATAACAATTTTAGTCCACTTATTACTTTTAATTTCCAGACCACTTTGATTTCTAAAATATTTTAATGAAAGTACAAAAACAAACCCTAGATCTGATTCTAAAATAAATATTCAAATGCTTCATGATAGTTTAAAGTAATATATTAAACCAATCAGAAAATCAAAAACATTAGAAAGAAAGATACGTATAGAGAGCTCAAAGAAAATTATGAAAACTTACCCCAACGTTAACGCAATCTTCGCTTCCAGAAGGAAATTTTGCCATAAATTTGCTGCCAGCCTTTTCCTCTGAGGAATTGAGGGGGCGAAAACGACACACAACTTTGATGCTGCATTCTGACGGATTTTCATTCATTTTCATGCAATCACAAAACAAACTACTCCACAAAAATGTACAATGAACTAGAAAATACTCAGTTTTTTTCCACTCAAATCCAAAATACAGTTACAGCCCCATGTTTTCGATTTTCTCCGTCAGGGTAGCTGTCTAGCATAGGGCGCCCCCACTGCAGAGGATATTATTTTACAATGGAAATGACAAAGAAATATTTACTTTTCTGGTCTTATTGATTTCTCAAGTTATACGATGGATTATTTTTTGGTATAAAACATTTTTTACATTTCCTGAGTTTAATTGGAGATCGTGATCATTGGAGGCGGAGAGCGGGAACCGATGCGAGGGAGAGGAAATGCCGGGGCTGTACCGGTGCCTACATGACACGCGACCTCTCCAGACACAAATGAGAAAATGAATGGGGTTTGCCATAATCTCATATTCACGCCAATATCAGTTTTATCGCCAAATTATAAGAAAATATTTTAAATTTTTCTACTTTTGATCACTTATTTATGAATTTAAAAATGTATGAAACTTTTTCGTGATACACCATAAAATTGACTAAAATGTAGTACTAAAATAAAATGAGTAAAGTGCTTTATTCATTTTATCAGATTTCTTTTTATTCGTTGTAGAAGAATATATTTTTAATATGTAAAGATGCAAGAATGTCATTCAAATTTAAAAAAAAAATTCTTTTTGAAAAAAGGCATCCTATTAAAATAATTAAGGAAAACGAGATCTTTATCAGAGGAATTTACTTCGAATAGGATTCTTATCTCCTACAAATATGTAGAGAATAGATTGGTTACAATATTTACTTGTTTGTTTATTTATTTAAAACATTTGCATGTTACATTTAGGTAAAAAACTAAATAGGAGAAAACAAAGTAATCGATTTACTATTTGATCAACATCAGCAGCATGATCAGTTAATGCATATATTTTTGTAGCAAATTAAAAATTTTAACAAAAGGGAAAAAATTTAATAAAGCAAAATAGCACACTCATACTCTTATTAAAAACTAACCTCTAAAACTCTAAAAAAATGAGGAAAAAAAATTATTTTTATCGCTATTAGTAAGTTAAATACTGTTTAGAAACAGCTACACTATAATTGTGCAGTTGATATTCAGAGTAAAAAATTATTTCTTTCTTTTTATTTCATTCGATTTTCAGCGATTTTTACTCTGTAATAATGAGCTCATTTCCTAAACACGGTAATATTTATTAAAAAAACTGTTAAAGGAACTCGATCACATAGTGAGAGAAAATAATTAAAGTCATTGGAATATGATATATAGTTTGTATAAAAGAATTAAATATGTAATCGCTTAAAATATACTGATAAATATGATAATTTATTAAAATTGCCCATAAAAATGCAGATTTTATATATTTATTTATTTATTGTTACTCGCTGTAATAGCATAATTTTTGGTAATATATATATATAGTAGTTAAATATGAACCTTTATACTGAATAACAGTGAAAATATTACTCTTTTGAAGTAATATTTATTAAACAAATACAATTTTTGACACTTGAACGCCGCCATCTTGGATCCACCATTTTGGAATTCCGTAATTCTAACATTAAATTCGTAATAAGCGACCTCAAAAACCCATTTATCGTTAATTTTTAAATAATGTAATTGAAGTTCACATTTCGGTAAGCTTTCTCCGAGTTTCGACCCTGCTGAAGTCTGAAGAACGTTGTTTTTCCCGTCAGTCGAATGCATAGGTAGAAAAGCTACTTTTACAGAATTCATCAGAGGTTAATGAAGTCGCATTGTGAACTGTATTGCGAATCGGAAAAGAATAAATATAAAAATGCGCTAATTTAACATGCCATATAAATTTATTACATAGCAAAAAATAAATCTGCACTAAAATCTAAATCATTTCAGGGTTTGTATTTTGTTTAATGGGGGTATATATTGGAAACTAAAATATCGATAGTACTTCAGAGAATTCAAGAATCCGGAGGAGTAGTTTATTTTATTTTATAACCGTCGTTGAACAGCCGACCCAGTTTCATGGGTTTACGACTACCAATGCTCAACTCCGCAGCCCTGTAATTTTTAACCCAATCCAGAAGACAAGGGAACTCCTGGATCGAGTATTGGGAGAAATTTGCCTTCATAGAGGGCATTTTGATGGAACTAAACGGCATTTTCGTTACACTGAGAAGTAAACCTCAAGAACCTCCCAAGGTTAGCTTAATGGCAAGGGGACTCTAGCCCATGATCCGTTTACCACTGAGGATACTTTACGTCAGCATTGTGGTCGGGGCAAGCCGGATGCGGAATTCGTATCGATTGGGATTCGAACCCGGTTCGCCTCATTGGAAGGCGAACGCTCCATCCCCTGAGGCATCGCTGCTCGGAGGAGTAGCATTGGCCTTGCAGGGCATTCTGTAATGACCGGCCTTAAAATACTATATTTTTAAAATTCTTGTAAAAAAGGTAAGTCAATAAACTATGCCCTCTAAAGTCATAAAATATTTTAAAAAAGCGCTTCGAAACTATTACTAATAGTCTTGGATTTCGATAAAGGGGCTATGCATAAATGAGGTCACGCTTGGAGGAGAAGACAGTTAATGATAAGGGGTGACAGGAGTAACAAGAAGTGTGACATTACTACACATTTTGGATAAAATAAAAATATTTGAGATCAGTAAATCAAAAACTTTTATCTTATTCACTTTTATCTTTTATACATAAATATATATTATATATTTTCATACTATTTACTTTTATATCCCTTTATCAAAATACGTACACCTATAATCAATATTTTTATGCTCACAAATGCTAAATTTAAACACATTGTCAAAATTTAGAGACTCGAAACATGGTCTATAACGTATTGCTTTGTCTTTGAACTATAAATATATAAAATATAGCATGACTTGTGATAAGGGGATAATGAAGTGTGACAATTTAAGATAAAAGAGAAGAGGGGATAAAAATATTTTTTAAAAAAAGGGGGAAAATAATAATACTTAAATATATATATTTAAGTATATTGGGAGGCATGATCTCCTGGACTTGACTTAGTTTAGTTTGTCTAAGCCAAGAGGGATAAGCAATTATAACATATACTTTATTTTTATCTGATTTTAAAAATTTGGAGGTTATTTACTCAAGAACTGAAAATGTATTCACATTTTGAGCTTACCGATCCAGGCAAGCGTTGTTACAATTCTAAAGTTTGACAAGTTTAGAGAAAGTATTTTTTTTACTCTCAGTTAGTATTTAACTCTTAATTAGAGTTTTTTTCCAAATATATTTGAAGACATATTATTAAGAGTATGTGAAAATCCACGAAGTGTGTGATTTTTTCATCATGGAAATTATAAAGCAAGATTTTTTTTCTACAGAAAATTTAAAAAACATTTTTTTTTGTTGAAACAGTTTTACTATTTATAACGTCTATCGCAAGTATAACGCCTGATGAACTTGTAAAATTAGTGTAACCTGGTTACTTCCATTAAAGGATATATTTTGAAAAATAATACACAAGTTTTCTTAAAAATTTGAAATCAAGTAAATTAAAAAAGCTATGATGTGAAACATGTGCTAATAAAGCTATGTGCGGATTTTCCTTTTTTAATTCAATATAAATATAAAATGATAGAAAATTGAAAAATTAATATCTACTGGAAGAAAAGAAACTGAAAAATAATAAATGGGCAACATACGATAAATCACATTTTCAAATTGTGCAAACGTGTGCTTTTTTTTTTACCTAAAAAGCATAATGATTTCTATTCAATCAAAAAGGATTTCTGAGTATTTTTTCCTAGTACATATTTCTGTGTAATTTTTTCTAATGGAAATTCCAAACGCTTGTAAATTTTCTAACTGAATATAAGTCTAAAATACAATTTGGTGTAAGAATATCACTTTAGCAGAAAACCTGGTTCATATCTATTTTATTCCAAATCTAAACACTTGTAAACTTTCTATCTGAAAATAAGTCTAAAGAGCAGTTTGTTATAAAATTTAACTTTGGAAAGAGAGTTTAGCTTATATCTAAATAACTCTAGGTCGATCAGATTTATGAAATCATTCAGTTCGTTTCGAGTACATTTTATATACAAAGAAAAATAACGAAAGTGCGATAAAGAGCCAAATAAGTTTCACAGAGAATTCGTATGTTATTCCGCACTTTCATAGGAAGAGCCAGTCTTAAATGCGGAACATTTGCGTCACTGGGAAGTCCGCTCCCTTGGAAACGTCAATTGATTTCATTTTCGTGTTGCTTTTTCCTTTTATGAAGAATACTAAAAAAATGATTATGATATGTTCTTGAAAATGTTCATATAACTAGAATTCAATATATCCGCTGATAGCAGGTAGACACAATGGGATGCTAAAAGTTGCACACTTTAATTCAAAATTTTAAGACATAAAATCTCTTTACCGATTATAAATTAGTAAAGATAGTAGTTACACGTTATGTATGTTTTATTAACTGAAAGATAGTAGTTACAAATTATATATGTTTTAAATTACATATGCTTTATTTACTGAAAGATAGTAGGTACAAATTATATATGTTTTTCTTTAGTGTGAAGAGCGGTAAATACCGATTCAAACAATTTCTTTAAAAGTTTAATCGATTGTTTTTTTTTAACATATGTATTTCATTTCATTATAAACCAAATACTGGTTTGGTTTTTTAAATTTAAAAAAAATTTTTTTTTTAAATTTTGAATTTTTTATTTATTTTGTATTTTCTAAAATTGTGCCATTTTATATTCTGACAGAATGAAATTCAGTTTTGCGGTATTGACTACAAATATCAAAACTGAGAGAAATCAGAGAGAAATGATAGTTCTGAAAAACGTGTTTTTGACAAGCTTCACCTTTTAATTTTAAATATAACTATTTTAAAAAAAATGCGTAGATGTATTAAAAAGATTTGTCTTTTTTAAAAACAATAGTTGAAAATTTTTATTTTAATAATTACAGTCTTGAAAATACTTTAAATAAAGTTTGTTCTTTCTTTAACAAATAAGAATTGCATTCAAAAATCCTTAAAATTTTCCTTCATACTAATAAAAATTTTATCCAAAAAAAAACAATATTAATAAACATGTTTGAAATATAAATAACATAATCGTCAACACAAAAATAAAATTCTTTTTCAAAATCTAATTGCTCATTCTAAATTTTCAATATTATATCAAAATACATTTATTTAAAGCTAGTACATATTCATTTTCATATCAATTTATTTTGTACTAAGTACACATGCATTAAATATTTAGCATCTTGATTCATTAATATATTCCAGTTTTTCTTTTTTATTTGAATTCGAAGAAGATAAAGTAGGCTGACTGCTTGAACTATTCGGTGTGTATATTCCTTTCTTCAATACGTTTTTGTAATAGAATTGTTTTAAAGTTTTCTTTTTTCCGACAAAAATAACAAAAAGAAAAACACCATGCAGAGCTGTTAACATGCCGGCTATAGCATATAGTGAAAAAACACCTGTTATCCAAGGAATAAACTCGGTCGTCCATGTAATTCCCATCACCAGAAATAGTTTTAAATATAAGTAAAACCTGTAATTAAAATAATCAGCTTATATAGGATTATAATTATTTTATTAACATTAAAAATATCAGTTTTCATTAAAAACAATTTCTTATCTTTTGAAAAATCACAGTAATGTTCTAAAATAATACTTCAATGGATCTATTCCTCGGCATGGAAATTTTTAAGCCAGTTTCAAATTTCTTAAACTTTTGAGAAGCTTATCCTTTATGGTTAATAATTGTTAATTGTTTAATGATAAAATTTTCGATTGATCAAATTTATAATTTTTACGTTATGTTATTATTCTTTATTTACTAATAATTCTTTTATCAATATTTTAAATATTTCTTTCAAATAATTAAGCATCATTAAAAAAATTAAAATCTTGAATAATAAAATACAATTCACGGTTTTTGCAAACTTTTGAGAAATTTATCATTTATGGTTAATGGTTGTTAAACATTTAACAATCAAATTTTCGATTGATCTAATTTATAATTTTTACGTGATGTTATTATTCTTTATTTACTAATAATTCTTTTATCAATATTTTAAATATTTCTTTCAAATAATTAAACATCATCAAGAAAGTTAAAATCTTGAATAATAAAATACAATTCACGATTTTTGCAAACTTTTGAGAAATTTATCATTTATGGTTAATGGTTGTTAATCATTTAACGATCATTTTTGATTGATCAAATTCCTAATTTTTATGTGACATCAGTATTATTTATTTACTAAAAATTCTTTTATCAATATTTTAAATATTTCTTTCAAATAATTAAGCTTCATCAAAAAAATTAAAATCTTGAATAATGAAGTACAATTCACGATTTTTGCAAACTTAGGGAACCTTTCTACTGAGTGTAGTTTGATCACGTATGTGACATCAGTATTCTTTGTTTACTAATAATTCTTTTATCAATATTTTAAGTATTTCTTTAAGATAATTTTGCTCCGACAAAAAAATTTAAAATATTGAACAAAGGAAATACAATCCACAATTTTTACAAATTTGGGGAACACATTTCTACTGAGTGCGGTTTGATTGTTCTACTTTAAATTCATCAATCAAATTCTCAATTTGTAAATGCATATTTTATATAAATTTTTATTTTGATGGAAAAGTGATGGGAAAATATTATTGGTTCAGCATTGGTAAGTATTTCGTATTAAAATGAAAAGTCTGTTTTCATAAAATTTCAGCTCCGCACTAAATCATATATTTATAACAAAAAGACGAGGAAAGAATATCTCCACTTTTCTCTCAGGAGGAAAATCAATTCAACTTTAAAGTATGTTTTCGAACGACAGATCAGAACAGTTAAGAGTGTGCTCTAAACTGTTCTGACCGTGAGTCGGGGAACTGGCTCATTTATGGGTGATTCTCACGAAACATGACAATTCGGACCAAAACATTTCTTCAAATTTAAAGTCTTCAAAATAATCTAAAATTTTTTTTGTATACTTCTTCAGCTACACTTATTAATATCTTACAGACAGCAGTGTAGTTTATTGACATTTGCTCGAGAAAAAAAAAAGAAATTCACCAAATCTTGTATGCCAGGAAAATGACATATTACCTTAGAAGTTTAAAAAACAGTCATTTTAAGTTAATAGTAAGTAACTCAACTTAAGCCTTTATGTTAGATGGACCATAAATTGCTTAAATTAATTCTTTTTATCCACTGTAGAAAGAAACAAAAAAATTTTTGTTGCTGATATGTACAGAATAAAATTGTGTATAATAATCAATCATTAAATAAATAAATAACTTTGATTACATCCAAGCATATTACAATCATACATAAACTTGGTATTAGGTTAATATTTGCTTTCCCTCTTTACAGTATTAGCAGTTAAAAAGAATTTCTGGTAACACTTCAATGTCCTGGCATTCATAAGCCAGGAAAATGACAGCCAGGATAATGACAAATTCGCCATTTTATAGCATATAACTTTACTTTAATTTAATATTTTGGCCGAAGACGTTTATATTCTGCAGAAAACAACAGTATTTCTTAAAATAACTCAGATAAATCTATGTAGTTTTTGTTATTAATGATTTCAAGAAGCCAGGAAAATGACAGCATAAAAACCTACTCACCTTGAAAAATTTTTTGAAATAGATTTTGAGCCAGAAAATTGGTTCTTTATTCATGCAACAAGACATGTTCAGATAGGAGGGTATCTAATCAATCTATTAACATAAGATATTGATTCCTGGCGCTATCTATTTTGGTTATAAATCACTAAATAAAAGTAGCCAGGAAAACGAGAGATTTTCATGGGACAAGCAAATTATTGACAGAAAAAAAAATTTTTTTAAACGAAGTTTTAGTAAACAATACCCTCTGCGTATATTCCAGAAATGCTTACACAGGATAAGATATAAAAAAATTTGATTTTGAAAAATTTATGGGAAGTTTTGAAGCTAGTTATTATTGGAAATATTGTTTGGGACATGCCAGGAAAATGACATTTTGATAATCAATTAAATTTTTTAAGTATACAAAATAGTCAATGCTAGTGCAAAGTCATTTTAAAATGCTAACAGCAATGCTATTTATTAATTTAAAAAAAAAAAAGTTCTTTTAGTATTATAGTATTAGATCTTCGAACAAGGGACAGTGAATGTCATGTTTCGTGAGAAATACCTATATATCAAAAAATAAGTAACGATTTTTATTAATTTTGATCGCATAATGTGGAAATAAATTGGGAATTTATGCTAAACATTTTCTATTTTTTATTGAATTCTAATAATAAATATCGAAACAATTAAAATTGAAATATTAATAAATTCAAAAATACTATATCAAGATTGATTTTCGCCCCATGAGGTAGCACCATCAAATAGACCACAGAGATCGCTATTAAATGAGGTTAAAAGTTTAAAAAGAAAGCAATTTAACCCTTTCAATACATGCGCATTAAACGCTAGGTATTTATAGAAATATACGACATTACAATTTATCAAATATCAAGCCATTACAGCCATCATATTAAGAATGATAAACGACTGTTGAAGTGAAAATATTAACATCAGGTTCTAACGTATTATTTCTTAGGTTCTTGCTCGTAAAACGGGAATTAAAATTTTTAAAACTTAATGCATTGTTTCAACTATCCAGTATTAACAAATTGTTTAAGCAAATTAAATTACTTGCGATTATTTTCAAAAATAAAAAGCGTGCATGAAACTGAGCTCTACTTTAAAAAGTCTTTGTTGTTGCTGTCATTTGCCCTTAAGACAAAAGAGGTGCGCTTCTTTTGTGTTCAGTGGTTCCATCTATGGCCAAGATTTCGACTTCAGTTACGACATACGCCGCAGCCAGTTTATAGGGAGGACCTATACATACATCCTTTCATTCATCCACAGACCAATTTTGTCCTGAACCAGAGAACGAGCAATCTCCAATTCAGTACCCGAGGAGTTATTGGTTTGTTATGGGAACATGGAGGACTTTGTGATCCGATAGATTTAACTTTCGTCAGTCACCATTTACTACAGGGGGAGTCTTAAGCCGGCTGGGATGGAACCAAAAAGGCCTTTTAAAGATTCTGTCGATCATATACGAATGAAAAATTTTATGGAAAAGATAAAGGATTTTTCTCTTACAACCTGAAAAAGTTGTGAATAACTCTCTTGTTATTTCTTTAAATACGAGTATGAGGTTTTCAAAACTTTTAGATGAGAACAGTTACTTTCATCTAGTAAAAGTTTTATTTTGTATGTGTAATACAGAAATCAGTATACATCACGCAACCATGGCCAAGCACCTAGCCCATTTCAGGCTGGATTCTGACTTTTAGTTACAGCCAGGTTACGAATACCGTACAGTTTTTTTACCCCGACATGGTGACAGACAGCATGGACAATACCTGAACTGGTATCCCTCTCTTTACAAATTTAAGCACCAAAACCAGTGAAAGGAATTTCAGTTACAACAAATTAAAAGTCCACCTTGCTGATTTTATTTTATTTTATAATCGTTGTTGTACAGCCGACCCAATTTAGGGTTTATAACTTAATGTTCGACTCAGTAGCCTTGTAATTTTAAACCCTCTCCAGAATACAAGAGAACTCTTGGATCATTAATTGGGAGAAATTTGTCTTCGTGGAGGACTTTTTGATGAAACTAGCCCGCATTTGCGCTACATGGAGAGGAAAAATCACGAAGAACTCTTACGGTTAGCCTGACTGCAAGGTGACTCTAACCCAAGATCCGTCTGCCACTGAGGATATTTTACGTCAGCACTGTGGTCGGTGCGAGCCTCGTGCGGAATTCTTATCGACTAGCCACTGCAGGGATTCGAACCCGGTTATCCTCATTGGAAGGCACACGCTCTATCTCCTGATCCACCATAGACCAATTAAAAAAATAGTACTAATAGAACTTGGCAACACTTTGCTGTTTTCTAGATAGAACTCACTTTGTCGATTTCTAGGATAGAACTCACAGCCCACAGATCTCCATCAGCATTGTGAGCAACGCGTTAACCTACTGAGCTACCAGAGCGCCTATGGCAATAATCAGCATTGATTAATGTGCTATAGGAGCAGCATCTTTACATTTTTTCCTTTACGACTTAATTTTTTAATATTTAGAAAAAAATCAAACATTATAAAAAGTAATACTTTTCGAATTCAAATCCAATGACTTGCATTTGTTTCTTAGAAATCGAATGTCTTTTTAAAATTGCATTTTTGATTACGTTTTTAGGTGATAAAAACATCCCATTCATTTATTTAAAATGCTACTTAAGAACAGACTTATCACATCTACTTCAAACCAACTAAAAATAATTATAACTTTATGCGCACCTTTTTTGTTGTTGCTTTACTTGTAATATTGCTGTCATCTTCTTTACGATTATCAGCTTTCTCATCGTCATCAAGAACAAAACGAGATTGCAGAATAGAATGACTCCAACCGGTAAGTTAAAATAATAAGTGAAAGCAGTTTTTCCACTTAGCCAACAACGTTTTACTCCGAATTGCGGTCGGAACTTCAGTGGAACCCATTCAGTTAATTCTAAAATAGCTGCCGGTAAGGCTACTAGGACAGTAGCAGTCCAAGAGTACGCCGAATACTTCAAATATTTCTTCGAGTTGCTCTTCACTTCACTTTTAGACCGAATATTGGCAAGCGATCTCCAGATATCGAACGCCATTACATTGGTCCAAAAGAATGTTCCTAAGAATGTCACGTGAATGATCATGGCGATCGTAAAGCACATTGAGAAAGTAATGTGTTTTCTGATCATGAGGTCGAGAATGAGCATGAGAAATGTTATGAGCAAGCAAGAAGACATGCTGATGAGATTCTTGCCGTGCACATTGTGGAATTTAGACATTGTGGAGTAAATAAACAATGAGAATATTAAGCAAAGGCAAGATAGAACCATTTCTGCAACTATGATTGGATAGTATTGAGAGACATTTGAAGCAGTTCCTGTAGTAGCGTTGGAAACATTCTGCTCCAGAACGTCGCTTGTCTGGTTCAAAAAATAGCTTTCTGTTGCGTTTTGCCATTCTAGTGATGTATCCACTTCTGTGGTTGCCGTTGATAGTTCCATTTAATGTCACAATACCTTTCTCAATACTTTTTTTTATATCCTGTATTAAAAAGAGTTTAGTTAAACAAGTAGAATTGCAAAGTATAATATTATTATGGTATCTTACTATATATAAAATTCTAATGATGGTGTCGCAGTTTTCCATTGTTGTCGGTGCATTTTTATTGGCCAGAAAATCACGTGGTGTGATCCAGTTTTTCCTCATTCGTCTCCTTATTGTTTTGGTTGTAGTCAGCATAAAATTAATAAAAGTCATGCTTTTCTTTAAATATTTTTGAATCCCTAACTTAAAGTTATTTTCCTGTACTGCTATTATTACGCTTTTAATTCAAGAGTTTAAAACTAAGAGAATTGCTGTTTTTTTATTAGTATTATAATGTAAATCTGCCTTACATTTTAAGATAAAGTTATTTAGAAAGGTGGTCTAACAATTATTATTTTTGAGCAAATAACATTAATATACTGTTATAAATTACAGTTAAAGAGATCTGTTAAATGATTTAGAACTTAAGGATCAGCTTCATGCCCAATGAGATGCAGGCAAAAAAAAAGTATTTAATATATCCTACCGTTTGGTAAGTGAAAATATTAAATTAAGGATGTGAACTCATCAAATTTGTTTCAACAATATAACGTTATAACAACATAAATGTTATTTAAAAAAATGATTACTTAGAAAAATCACTTCTGTTTACCAATAGATCTAAATATCTAATATATATAATTCTCTTACGTGGCTCCCAAATTTTGGCTGTATTTCTTTTCCGCCGGTGGCAACGTTTGCTTTGTTTTGCTTACGCTACTATTTCTGTTACACGGCGAATCGACCCATGATTGCCGCTAAAAATGTCACATGCCAAATCTATCTGAGGTGACTCAACATATAGCGCTTTTAAAAACGGAAACTGAAATAACCAGAGAGCATCAGCTGCGGCAATCTCATACTATTAAGCTAGGCAGAAGTGAGTAGTCTTTGTCGATAGATCTCTATTTTAGTATTTTGTCGAAAGCGCTTTTTTTCACGAATTTATACATTACGAATTTATTTGACGATTTTTGATTTACATCACGAATTATACTATAGCACATTTCTAATAGGTTTAACGAATTACATGTCATTTATTTGAATTCAAATTTATTTTAATGACTTAGTATTTACTAAAAAGATGTAATTTTTTTATATGGATTTGAATGATTGTTTTGAATTCTTAGAATTGTGTGCATTTGTAATGTACCTAAGTTAGTAGCGAGCGAAGCGATCTTGGTACGCGAAGCAAACCATATAAGATTGCGCAGCAATTTTCGGGGGTTGGCGAGCGTTAGCGAGCAGGGGGCGCAGCCCACAAGTTAGATATAATTAGGGTTTAAACACACACGCACAGAAATGGAAATTTAATGATCCAAAAGAACCACCATATTATTTGTTACGGTTGGTATTTGTTTAGTGGTCCAAAAACTTAATATGGTAAACAAACTTGAGGGAGAAAAAATCGAACTTTACAAATATAATTCATGTTATGGTAAATATCAAAAATTATTAATTGCCAAATGTAACACTCTAAAGCTAATTAGGTTTGTTAAGGAATAATATCTATCAAAATTAAGTAAAAAAACCTAAAATAATATTAATAAATAAATTCAACATCGAACTTAAGATGCTGAGATCAAATAAATGTATGTATAAGTGAGAAAAACAGAGAAAGTAAGAACTAACAAAATATTACATTAAAAATTAATTAATAAAAAATTATAATATTTTAAATGAAGAGCTTCTAAGGGAGCAAAAAAATATTATTTTATGTATAAACGATTATAAGGTCAGTACATGAATACTAAGTACAACACAACATGTAAATTTGAAATTTCAACATTATCCTCTCGTCACTGTCCTCTGCGCCTAAGGGTTCATCTCATTCTAGTACCCTTAAACTTTTCACGATTCAAATAATCTAACTATTAAGAGTAAGGTTAAAAATCCACTACATTTTTTTTTATTAAACAACAATTTTTTTAAATTTTCTTTGTTTATGATTAAAATATTATTTTACCAAAGAGTCGGTGAGAAGCCGCGAAAGAACGAGTTCGGGAGAGCGACTAAGCTTCACACCAATAATGGCTACTGCAACCAGTTGCTGTTATTTGACTTAACTGTGTCTTGAAGCAATATGAGAGGGGTTAAGAGAGTTTTATTACATCCTAATTGTAGAATATGGAGAAATTATAATAATAATTTATCTCCCTGTTGCACATTTTTATTAGAAGAAATATTACTTAATTCATAAATTAATCATAATTTGCTTAAAATGTATATGAAAATAATTTTTAAGGGAAATTAATAAAACTATTAATGAGTGAAAATTACCACTTACTTACAAAAGACAATTTTTTCCAAAAGTAAATTTCGTTGCCGAAGTGTATAAAAAATATCACATGAATACAAATATTAGATAAAATCTTTTTTATTTGTACTTGGCATTGATTATGTGTAAAGGATAAATCGCAGTGGAATTTCTCAGCGTAGTTTCCGGTGATGGTTAACCTGAATTCCAAGAAAAATAGTTCTTTTTCTAATATCCACTTCCGATTTTTTCAGTTTAATGAAAAGTAAAATTTCCGCATGACTCAACCGATATATTTTGGGGAATTATTAGATTATTTAGAAAGAAGTTTTAGTTCTAGTTGCGAAATTCCATTGATTAAAAAAATATTTGGATAAACATAAGAATGAAAAAGTGACTTAAGAGAGTGAAAAATAAATATAGAATATAATGTAATAATTTTAGTTACTGAGACTGTTTATAAAAAAAATTAATTTGTTTTAAAACGTATAATAAAACGTTACCATGCATTAAATATTATAAAATATTTTGAAGATATTATTAAATAAAATTTAATATACATTAATGTAAATTTATTATATATTAATGTAAATGAAAAGTTTCTTTTAATACGCGATATTTATTTTAGGTGTCGTAACTGTTTCACTAAAATCAAATTATCGCTGAAGAAATGTTTGTTTAACATTTTTCAGGCTAATTTAGTTTCAGTTTATACCCTTCCTTAAAATTAAATAAAACTAATTATAAAAAAAAAAACACCAGTAAGCACTTCAGAAGCAATTTAATATTTTGTAGAACATTTCTCTGAAATTGATTACACAATTAAAAGAAGAGAAAAAACTACATAAAAACTTTTTTCTTTTTAAAAAATCTCGTAAATCAATCATACTAATCATTTTTAATTTGAAAATAGCAGTAAATTCTTTTAGCAATTGCAGTAAATGCGTTATTCTGCATGAAAAATAAATGCATTTCAGTTTTAGAGAGAAAAGGAAAAATAATTTTAAGGAAATATAAAATGTTGTGAACGAAGGTCATTAAACTTTTGTTGACGAGATAGTATTGATCACAGCAAGAAAACGTAATGCATCCTTACCACGCAATTTATTTCACAACGCGTTTTAGTCTGTGGAGAATTATCTATAATTTTTGATCACCAAAATAAAATATTCACAGCTCATTTCGATATAATTTTCGCCATGGTGTAAATTAAGAAAACAATGTTTCGTTAATTTCACTGTGGAAGGATAATTATAATTTATAATTTAACACAGTTTTTCTTTCTCATGAACATGAATAAAATTTTTATGCATTCACATTTGCGGTATTTAGATATTTCAAGTATGGATATATATTTGCAAAATATGCATTTTTTAAAAATATATTAATTAATTCAAAGATCATACGTAATAATTAACGGGATTCTTTTTGAAATTTTTATTTTGTATTTCTTTTTTCTTTTCTAACTAAACTTAAGTGTCAATAGGATTTGGGGAAATTTTGAAATGCTGTTATTAATTGTTTTTCAGGTTACATTCATTCAGGCATTTCATTTTTTATCTATCCATTTATTTTTCATTCATTTAATTTAACAGTAATTCTTTTCAAACATAATTGGTCTATTGTTGTTTAAAAACATTTTTAGTTACTCACAGCATCGTGCGCAGTATTTGTTGTTATGGAACACTGAAGAAAACAGGTAACTAACCCCTGGTTTAGTCTGAGCTGTCTGTCGGGAAAATCTGAGCAGCAAATAAGACTGGACACATGTTTTTACGGGTCCCGGGAATAAATTTGTTGCGGATCCCTTTCTGAAAAAACAAAATGTCTAACTTTTTGCCTATTAATAGCGTGTAGAATCTTAACGAGCCTATACTTAAAATTTTAGTTATTATATTTTCTCTTTAGGAAATTCTCTGCAATTTTCTGTTTCAAATTAATGAAAAGATATTACATTTTTTGTCATAATTTTTGCCTGAGCTCTTAACAGTCCCGGTTCCTGGGATAATTCTCCCTGTCTCTACTCTTTGAATGTGGGCCGTGACAATACACCATCCTGATTTTTTCTACCAACCGATTCTGCAATCAAGTCAGAAGCTCTAGTTGTTGTACACAAGATGTTTTATACATACCCTATAAGCTTAAAAATTTCGCATATGGCACCCCAATATTTTAATATTTACCTGCTGTATTGTAATTATTTTATACGTAAAAAATGCTTCATATGTGTAAAATCTAGAAATATGAAAAAACAAATGTTGCAAATTAAACTCACTAAAATTCTACCCACGTATAGCAATTAATACTGTTTAATTCTACAGTCCACGGATGGCGCTTGACGCATCCCAATTTAATTGTTCTTTAAGCTTTGAGAAAATAAATGGTGTGTATAATCGATTCATGTGTGTGCAGTGTTTCCGAGGTATAATTCAATTGTCTAAGTTCATCTCCGATTCCAGTAAGGTGTGGCAAGTTCCAGCTGATTTGTGAGATGTCTTAATGCTCCTCACCTTAATTTCTTAGTTCCAAGTCCATACAGCAACCGAGTCAGGTAAAACAAATCTAAAACATTCTTTTTCCCACCATTTGGTACATCAAATACTATGAAGGAGCGAGAGAGAGATAGGAACCATTCACATTGGAGGTGAAAAATTCGAAGATTCGAATGAGAACCTGATTGGTGAAATACGATGGCTCTATCTCGCTCGCAATAAATGGGATTTTATCGTAGGCAGTGAAAATAACAGTTGCTGCCGGAAAGACTCGAATCAAGGATCTTCGCTTCCTTAGCTAGATGCTGTACCCGCCATGGAAAAGGGTGTATACCTTCTACCAAGGTGAGTTAGAAACTTTATGCTGTAGTCACTCCCCACAAACTCCCTTTCCGAATCGTTGTCAGTCGTGAGCGTTTAACGAGAGTCACGTGGTCGTAAGTGAAGTCTCCATTCCAGTGCAGTTCCAGCTTTGACGTTGTTTAAGATCCAGGAGTTTCGTTGAATCATGGCAAACCAAGGAGTCTGTTGAGTAGTGAGGAGTATTACCTTTTTGCTGCCCGTAGTAAGAAATATCAAGGGGTAAGATTGGAGTAGATGCGAAGAGGTATATCCCTTTGACTTGAAGCTATGGTATTTGGGAACTTTCTTAAAACACCTTCGATCGTCGTCGAGAGGAAAGAAAAAGTTTTTCATAGGAAAATATCTCACACAAATCGAATTCTCTTACTTTATCGACTGCGATTGGAGCAATGGCAGCCACATGCAGTGAGAATGGCCCTCGCAGCATCCTTCACCTCACTCCCTGATACACGCGTTAGACTAATCGCAGCGGGATTGATCGTAAAGACATGGTTCTCAGTAAAACACCAAAGTCAAGCATCACTGCCTGCGGTTAGTTTGCGAATGGATGATCACTTTGATCAGCCTGAGTAGAGACGGAGGGCGAGCAGTATCAGTCCTCGTGAAACTGTTCTACTGTACTATACTCAACTTCACGTGCAAGCTGTTGTGCTACCAAAGCGGAGAACCATCTCCTCGAAAAGATACAAAATTATTATAGCATGGCTCCAGATCATCCACAAAGATGTTTTCTAGCCCGAAACCAATAGCTCATTATAGAGCCATGGTGGCTCAGGAGATAGAGCGCTCCTCTTCCAATGAGGTGAACCGGGTTCGAATCCCAGCAATGGCTGGTCGATTCGAATTTAGCATCCAGCTCGCACCGATTGCAGTGCCAACGTAAATTATCCTCAGTGGTGGATGGATCATTGGTTAGAGTCCCCTTGCCCTCATGATACAGTAGGAGTTTTTCCTCTCCATGTAACGCAAATGCGAGTTAGTTATATCAAAAAGTCCTCCACAGAGGCTATTTTCTCATAATTGGGGAGTTGCACTCTAAGAAGGAGAAGGCAAACCTAGTTCTGTTTAGGTTCTACATGGCTTCTTACCTGTCTGTGTAAATATGTACAGAAAGAATTGAAATCTTTGCGAAAGAATCTTCGTGAAAGTATATAGGCTGTATTATATAAGAGAATTGATACTTGATAAGCTTGGATTAGTCGAAATTGAATGGAAAGAATAGTCGCTAACATAAACAAATGCTACGTTTCAGCAACCAATCAGGATCGAGATATCCGAATTACGTCACTCGCAGGTATCCCATTCTTGATCCAGAAACTCCCGTGTCTTTTGATTTGGGTTGAAAATTACAAGGCTACGGACTTGAACATTGGTAGTCGTGAAGTCAAAATTGGGTCAGCTGTTCAACGACTGTAATAAAATAAAATAAAATAAAATTAAATAGCCCATTTTAAGCCTAAATGCCATTCTCCCTGGGGCATCTCACGAATATGATTACGTGATTGGTGAATTTTCCGCGGAAGACTAACCAATCAAGCATTTCGTCTTTTCTCTCTCTTAAATATGTCTGGTAACACCTTTATTTAAGCAAACGCAAGCGATCGATTGCGCTCTAAATAAAAAAAATAAACTAATTTTTTTAAACTTTCCAAAGTTCAATCTCTTGTGGCTTGTCTGCTCTTATTTAATTTTGCATAATTCTGTATAAAAAAATTACCCCTATTTTACCCAACAGTAATGAAGGAGACTTAAATATGTTTACAAACAGATAGAGCGTCTTAAGTTTAATTCCTATATATTCTTAGAGCAGGAGCTGTAAATCATAACATAGAAAACTTTGAAACTTGTGTGCAGAAGCTCCTCTTATATATTCCCTGAAACTCCATTAAAAAAATATGGGTTCCTACCGATCCCGAATTTAGGAGGAATACCATAAAGACTAGTTTAAAAAAAACTGATTATTTGCGTGTTAGTTTTCTGCAATTTGCAAGAGATATCAATTATGATAAATACAAATAATCTTAGAACCTATTGAAACTCCAAGTATATCTTATTACCGAAATTAAGCTTTTTTACACATTTATGCACTGTTTGATAAGTGTCGTATATTTAAAATTTGATTTCTCAGAAACTATTCAACCGATTTCGCTCAAATTTTGTATTTCGTTATGTAAAATTAGATTCATTAAAATGATGTAAAAATTTTTTATACCTTACAATTCTAATATTTCTCGTATATTTTTTTAATGAAATAATAAATATTTACTAAAATTTATTTTTCATATGGGATTATCTTTGAATAAACGAATTTTTAATTGAGTGCAAAATTTTTCTTACATTGTTTAAAAAATGCTGAAGATATGAAATTTTCATAAAGAAAAATTGACATGAAGTTGTCTCAACTTTGGATCACTCTCCTGACGAAACTATGAAGAACATATTTCCCAGATTGCCGCTAACCCCGATATTTTGGGGCTCAGAAATCTGAATCCGTTCAAAGAAAGGAATTCAGAGAAAGTACGTCTTCGTGCCTAATTTGTAACTTAAAATATCGTCTGTACTTAATAACATGATTAAGGTCACCCACTTGAACCATTAAGATTGAGTCCTAGAACGTGAAATTCCCAATCATTAGCTCATAAGTTACTCCGGATGGTCAGTTTATTTATTTGCGCACCGTACATTGTACCACAGTTATTCGAATTTTTGTTACAATGACTGCTCAAGTGGTGATAAAATAACACCAATGAAATAACCTAACAACTTTATCAAACATTTCAGGTTAGGTCCCTGTGAGACTAGGAAAGGACTTGCCAGAGGAATTGGCGATCACAACGCTCGAATACGCCATCTGGGGAGAGACAGATTTCATGCCTTTGGCCCTTCTCCCTTTCCAGTTGTGTAGGTTTTCCATTTTCTTAATATTTTGACTTTTAATTAGCTGTAACCTAGGGTACATGATCTGGGTGTTGGTATATAGGAAAATATTGGTAGTGTTATAATAGTAATGCATTGTTTTAGTTCAGTAGTAATTTAATTTTACAACTAGCAAAGGTCTTATATATTTTGAAATAGTTTATTATTTTAACTTCGCTCTGAACTAAACATAACGCTCTGAACTAAACATATTTATTGCTCTAACAGAGAATAGAAACATTTTTGTCTTATTCCTCGCTGAAAACAAGTATTAAATTGAGTTCTTGAAAGGATTTCTAGTTTAACTCAAACCAGAATCCTGTTAATGTGTTTAGCTGTTGTTCCAAATTTCTTTATCTGGGGTTTAACAGGTGTTTAGTACTAATGAAGAAGTAATCACATGCAGTTCTCATTAAGAAACCTAGCTATATATCAACCATTTTAAAACCTTTTTATAAAATTGAGAAACTTTGATTGCAGATATATGCTAAAAGTTATTAATATGATGCAAATATAAAAAGTATTCTTAAATGTAAGAAAAGAAAAATATGGCAAAGCTTTGTTGCAAATCATAATTTTGCCAAACCCAGTTTAAAGTTTTTGATTTCTTTGTTTTGAGGAATGCTTTAAAGTGTGTAGACAGATTAAAATACAAGAAAAGTTACAACTACATTTACATTCATTTATTTATTTATGAAGTAATGAACATTCATATGGTTACTGAAAACTAAAAACAGGAATTATTCAATACAAATCTCAACATTTAAAATATACTAAAGAAGGCAAATCAACATTATTATTATACAAATATTATCTACAAGTAACATGTTATAGCTAAAAAACTGTCTCAAAAATAAATTGCATTTTTTTTTCTCAAAATATTTACATAATAAGCACAATGCAAATTACGCTAACTGTACAAAAAAATTTACATACATCTGGAACGAATGCGTAAATATATATTTTACAAGTGACATTTAACAACTGCCTTCCCTCACAATGCTTCATCACTTTTTTTCCTCCAATAAAAAGCACAGTGGAGTGTGCAGTTTTTCAAAAAATGTATTTACATGTAACATTTCATAACAGCTATGGTACGGTTGAGTAGATAAATGGTACGGTTCATTGCGTAGCTAATATGATGGTTGACTGAATATGTCGCCCTACTATATATATATATTGTAAAATTCTATGCATTGCCTATAACTGTACACCAAAAATATTATCAAATATATACACCTCCTAAAACTTTTCATAGTAATGAACCTACTAAACAAAAATATAATACATATTTAGCTGATGTTTCATTCATACATTTTATAGCTGAAGACGATATGAAACTGAACTGATGGTGCATAATTCGTAGTGACTATTTTTGACAGAGAGCTTGTTCAGACATGTTCCAAAATTGCAGTTTTAGAATCAATTTATACATACATCTATTTCCATCGAGTAAGCAAAAAAAATTTCTTTTCAATGTGATTTTATTATTTCGTATTAAGAAAATATTAATTAAAAACTCTGTTCAGAAAAAAAAATTTAAAAATACAGTAGTTATAGCACACAGAAAACATTTGTTTATACATATATATTTAAAAAAAGCTTATAAAGTAGTTTCAAATTTCCCCTTTCTGTCAATATCAAGTGTGTGTCGAATATCAATAGAATGATTCCTCAATTTTTATTGAGAATTTCCACATGTAAAAAACCATTAAGGAAAAAAAATAAGCAGTTTGCAACAGAAATAAGATCATAAAAGATTAAAATAAATAATAAAAGTTTAAAATTTTCTCTCTATGCAGATTTTATTTTGAATCAGATGTTTTTCTTTTTGCAAACTGTCTTCACAGCTCATTGAGGAACCTTATTCCCGTAAAACAAGGTTATAAAGTGGTCGAAACATATGTACACATCTAAAGTACAAAACAGTAAACAAAACTTATAAATATCACAAAAGAAATAACATACATTTGTCGGTGCAATAATAAAATATTTATGGCGAACACTATTGTTGGGTCGCGTATTTTTTTCAGTAAAAATAAAGTGCAGCACAAATTTACCAAGAAATAAAGACTTATGTATGATATACAGCACCAAAAGTCTAGAATTTTTACATCTAACTTAATCTAAATTGTTTGTAACATTCAATGAATTCATGAGCAGTTTAGAGAAATGGATTTATGAGCAAAGTCATATAAGGCTGTCTTTTTTTCACCAAAAAAGAAACTCAATGTAATACTGATTGAGCAAAGGAGTAAGCAAAAAACTGCTGAAAACAATGTCTAAGCTGCCATTTAAAAAAAAATAGCTATTTACTGTTTTAAATATTTATTGCTATTTAATAAGCCTAAGACTTTAAAGCAGTTAGATTGTATCGATCTTGTCTCTCTCGAGTAAATGTAATGAAAACTAATTTTTATGTTTTCAGACATTAATCTTTTTTCTTTGGTTTCGCTTATTCATAAAAAGGTTCTGTTTTTTTATTGTAACTTAGTTACCGAATTGTAATTTTCAAGAAGTTAAGTATTTTAAAAAAATATTTCAAAGCTACAAAATACAATGTATCTTTGGTAATATTTGACAAGGTTAAAAAAAAAAAAAACAGTCAAAACCTTAAAAATTACAAACTGGCAACTAAGTTCCATAAAATTAATTTAAATAAAATGAAAAGTATTTTTAAATATTGATTTGTGACTTAATAAGTAGAGAATTGGAATCTAAAATTAAGCACAGAATATTACAGGAAACACTGTAAAATAAAATCTGATTACAGAACCCCTTAAAATATTTATTCCAATTTTAAGTCTATATTCAGAACAGTTTTATATTTTAAACTTCTTGATACTTATATATTCTTTTATCAGAAAAATAATTTTTATTTTACTCTGCAAAAATATTTATTACATTGATTAAATCTAGGAACTTTATAGTTCTAATAAACTTGATTTGTATGAGGGAAAAAAATACTTAAAACAAAATGTTTAATTCTTTACGATTGACATCATTTGTTTAATACCTTAATGAATATTAAATAAATAATCCTAAAAAACTGAAGCAGTAAGACATTACTTGATTAAAAACTTAATTTGCTTCAAAAATTATACAAATTGCATATTATAGTCAACATGTTTCAAACATTCAAAAATAGACGTCCAGTTTCGAAACTTGCCAGTCGTAAATGAGAAGAAGCAAAAGTGATTTGAAATATAAAACGCAAAGCTGCCACAAAATGAAAATAAGAATTCAGACATTAATTAAGAATTACTTTATGTGAACAGTAATACTACTAAAGTACCTTTTTTTTTTCATTTTAGGCATACATTTTTCTTGATATGCATCACATAGTTTTCCAGATTGCATTTGAAATATTAAAAGTCATCAAAATTTTTATATTTCATTTGGAAACAGACTTAAAAATATCCTGTTAATTATATGTATATAGTACTAAATCCTTACTCAAACACTTAATTTCCAGCATTTGTGCTCGTCATATAAATCTGTTACTTAATCTGTACTTTCTATATTCAATTAAAATGCCTACATTAAAAAAATTAAAGCACTACATTTTTATGCTTAAATTAATAATTATAGATTTTAGCAGCTAGTCTACAATAATAAAAATTCTATGTTAATAAATAGTATTAGTACTAGATAAGGTTAATTTTCTTAATGATTCCCAACGTTTACATTTTCACTGATATGAGTCGCACTAAATTCATTGAAAATTTTCATATTCCACAGAGGAGTCTTTGCAGAAACAAAACATGTATTGAAAAATATTTTTGGTTAAAAGTTTGTTACAAATATTAATTAAAAATGTTATAAAAATTTAAAAACTGCTTAGTAAAATTTCAAAGTTTACTTTATCAAACAAAGAACTACATACAATACTAATAATATCACAAGACAAACTTAATACTGCTTGTAAAAAAAATTTTGAAGACAAAAAAAATTTATATTTTGCCCACTTCAACAAATGAAACTGTATGAGAAGTTAAAATCGTTCAATAATTTAAAAATGTACAGTGGATCATCTGAGTTTTCTTTTTTTTTTTTTTAAAGAAAGAAACAATCATACACATCATTTACCTATTCACTTAATCTTCCAATTTCATTCTAAGCAAAAACTCAATTCTTGCTAATTTCAAATGCTTAAGTAAACATCCATAAAACCTGAATCTATTAGTACATAGACTAGATTATCGACAACAAAAAAAAAAGTTTCAGGTACACAGTTACATCTTGCTTTGGTAAGTAGCAAGTTAAAGTTTATTCCTCTTCTTCTTCAGCAACAGAATCTCTTTTTACTTTAGAACTGTTCTCCTCATCCTGCTCATCCTCTTCATCAGGAGTTTCACAGGATTTTGGTTTGGCATCGAGGAAGACATTGTCATCACATTCGGTTCCACCTACAGCACCTTCAGGAGCTTCTTCAATTATATCTGTAGATGGTGCACCAGTGTCTTCCAGTTTACCTAAAACAGTATATATATATTTTGAATCTATTGAATAATTAAATTAATATCCATTATTACTGAAATGTAATTACAGGAATACCAAATTTCCATACTTTTTCATGGTAACTATATATATGAATGATACTATATCTATGAACTTTTACTAGGTATTTATATATTTTGAAACTATTAAATAACAAAATTATCCATTATTATTGAAATATAATTACAGGAATACCGAATTTCCATACTTTTTCATGATAACAANAAAAAGTTTCAGGTACACAGTTACATCTTGCTTTGGTAAGTAGCAAGTTAAAGTTTATTCCTCTTCTTCTTCAGCAACAGAATCTCTTTTTACTTTAGAACTGTTCTCCTCATCCTGCTCATCCTCTTCATCAGGAGTTTCACAGGATTTTGGTTTGGCATCGAGGAAGACATTGTCATCACATTCGGTTCCACCTACAGCACCTTCAGGAGCTTCTTCAATTATATCTGTAGATGGTGCACCAGCGTCTTCCAGTTTACCTAAAACAGTATATATATTTTTTGAGACTTTTAAATAATTAAATTAATATCTATTATTACTGAAATGTAATTACAGGAATACTACATTTCCATACTTTTTCATGGTAACTATATATATGAATGATACTATATATATGAACTTTTACATGGTATTTATATATTTTGGAACTATTAAATTATCCATTATTACTGAAATATAATTACAGGAATACCGAATTTCCATACTTTTTCATGATAACAAAGGCTAGCTTTCACACTTCACTTTGAATCTAGAAAAATTACCATTTTATGTTCCAAAATTAAATATATTTATTTTCTAATTATAATTTTTTTTATAAACAATATCCTAGGTTACAATATATTTATTCGTTAAATTTTTTTTTGTTTAATTATGTAACAGAAAAACTGCTTCAATTTTAATTACAGAAAAAATAATTCACCCGGTGTTGAAAAAATAATTGTTTAAAATGCTATGTGATGAAAATCAGGATTAAAAAAAATCTTGAATCAACTTATGACTTATAATTGTAAATAGTTATTTTTTTTCTATAGCTTTCATAAGCTTACTATTTTTGGAACATCAATAAAAGTGATAATAATAACAGGAATTCCAATTTCAATAATCTATTACCTAACATATTTGAAAAAACTGTATGGCAGTTTGGGAAAAATCACTATATATATGTAATTCTAGAGTTAAGTAACAATAATTCTTACAAATTTCAATTTAAGTTCGCTAAAAATTTAGATCGATGTTCAATCTTATCAAAATAAAGTCAGGATCATAAATCAAAGTATTTTAAAGTATAACTAAAAAATTTTTCTATCACTTAAATTCTGATTAATTTATCATTCTTAGTTTGCCTTGTGACTTTCACAGAAAGTATCTAAGTACGGGTATAAGTATTGATTGAAGTTAAAGTATTGATTTGAAGTTGAGATATTTTGTTGTAATTTAATACTTAAGTTCTGTAATTTATATGAAAGCATTTCCAGTATAAATCACCAAACTTACAGCCAATCAGCTTAAAAGACATAAATACACGCTAATAATAACTACTGCACTTTAATTTACTCAATATAAATGCCATAATTTATAAAGAGGCAGATGAATCACCAAATTTAGAACCAATTAACTTAGTATCAGAATTGAAAAATAAACTGACTAAATCTGTGAAGCAATTTATTATAACAATTATATTTAAATGTAGTTTATCTATTTTAAACAGTAAATTTTAATAGACCATTGTTCATATAATATCATGATTAAATAAATCAATAATTCATACATCTAAATGTGGCAGAATTGTGTTAGGGATATGCCTCCTTTTCTGGATCCTCACCTCTTGGTGGGGAATCGTCTGTTTTGGGTGATAATCTTTAGTTGAACATCACCTCTTGACTTTAATTTTAAAAGCATACCCTAATCTTGTGTGGGAAGTCTTTGGTCATTCTTGGATTTGTTGAGCTATTGGATTATTGGACAATTAAATAAATGTAGTAAAAATGTTTGATTACAGAAATAAATTAAGCTCTACTTTAAAATTCATGAGTGATTTGTTTGAACTTTACCATAGTTAAATTGTAATTAGAGAGAAACGCAAGTGCAGTGTCTTTTTTTAAAGCTGTTTGTGAAAATTCTATTATAAAATATAAAGATGTATTTTATAAAAATAATATAACATTGAAATAAGTTTTTTTTATACAATAAACTAATATTTGTACAAATAAAATTAATTTTAATTCAGATATTTGTCATTAAATGCTTCCAAATAAAAAAAAAATTACCTATTTTTAAATGTGTTCAGTATTGGACTTGCTGTGAAGAATAGTGCATTTTTTAATAGTTCAAAATTTACATAGCTATTTAAAATGTCGATTTTTCTCATTCCTTTTATTGCAAACTAAGCACTCAAAATTTTATTATGAATGAGGAAAATTAATTTTTGTCAAAAGACTATTTCATACTCACTCAAAGGTTGGACAACAAGAAACTTCAAAATATCTGAGAGTGAAACTATTCCAACAACAGATTTATTTTCATCTATCACAACTAATCGATGAGCCTGTCACAAATAGATAAGATAGTTTGGTTAAATTGTAATGGGATTATTTTTTTTTCGAAGTAAAACTTAAGTTAACTCACCTTAGAGGTAACAATAGTGCGTATCACAGTCCCCAAGGTATCATCGAGAGTGCATCCATACACATCTTCATGCACCTTAGGAAGAAAAACAATACTGTTACGAGATGGTAATACTATTTTTATATTGTTTTTTCTAAATACTGCCGTAACTTTTAAAATCGTAAAAAATATATAGTATGATTTATTTCAATCACAGGGTTGCCACAGAAAAAAAAGAACAAAATAGTTGCTTTTAGTAGCCTAAAGCATGAAAATAGTAGCCAAAAACTAGGAAAATAGTTGCCTAAATAAGAGCAAAAATTCATCAAAAATACTGCTAAAATTTTGTTAATGACTCAATTCTTATATACCATGATCCATTCAGTCAAGTTGGTGGCAAATATGATAATTTTTATGTAACGTTAATGTTTATATATATATATATATACATGAAAAGTGATTACTCAAATTCGAAATTCACGCATCATAATATCGTATTAAAATTTTTTTTTTTTTTTTTTAGATAAAATAATGCTGAATTTCGTAGCAATAATCATTGAAAAGGCGATCGAGAGATGAAATAGACTTAGAATAGAATCTGTGCAGATTGAACGAATGAAGAAGTAAAGACTTTGCAATTCAAAATTTTCAACATTTTTTATTTTTTTTTTTTAAAAAAAAAAGTTCAGTGTGTTCAGAAACTATCTTGTGGGGAGCAGATTTTTCACCAATTTATGCTTAAAAAAAAAAAAAACATCACTAGGAGTACAGAGAAGTCTCCCAATAGTCCCCTTTTCCTGAAAATATAGTTGCTTTTTTAGCCTTTTCAGGCAAAAATGTGGCAACCCTGCAATCACTGTTTAATAGATTAAGGAATGGATTGATGATATTTTTTTCAAAAGTATAATAGACAACTCTTGAATCCTAACATTAAAATATCTAAAATTTTACTACCAAAACAATAAACTTACGACTTATTTAAGAGGACACCATGCAGAAGTAGTGCATGAAACTCTTCATGGCGAATTCTTTTTCGCCTGCAGAACTATGCAATTAAAAATTTGAGTATAGAAAAAGAGAGTTCAGATAATTCTGGATTAAACTTTGCAGTTTCAAAGGCTAAATTTTTTTTTTTTTTAAATATTAACATTTTATTAAATTATGGTGAGATTATATTATGCAGTAAAGAAATTATTCTACAATAAATTGTTTGCATTCTGGCATTTTGAAAACATTTCATGAGCATTTGAAACTGAATCTTTTACTTAAGGAACTCTCTTTTCTATTTTTTAAATAACTTTAAATTTTAAAATACCAAAGGAACAGAATTTGCCAGCAAAAGTTTCTTCTGGAGTATAGCGTCCTCCTAAGACACAATTCCCATTTCTTTAGTATTTAAAATAATTTTTAAAAAATGTGATGTTTCATATATCTTATATAAATCATAGGTCTTATATAAATGCAGGGCTAAGGAGAATAGAAGGGCTAGTTCACTCCACTCTTAGAGCTGAAGCTACGATTTCCCTCCTCATGACGTCACTGTGTCCACAGATCTCGGAGATCGCAAGCAAAGATATGATAACTTTGCATCTTTCTCTTTGTAAAAATAAGTTAGACTTTTTCTGGTTATTAGCCTTCAAACTTTACGTAATTAACACATTATTTCCGTTCATAAACATAGTTCAAAAAAAACTTTCTTGGTTATTATATTAAAAAAATACCATTTTAAACTTATAAAAATGTTTTGCTAGTTGGTGAAAATGACACGATAAATACTTTATTTTAAAAAGTTCAGTTTTAACTTTAACTATTAAGAAAAATGAAGGCATATATCGACACTTTTTTTATCTACATATTCTTTTATAAAGATAAGTTAAGTTAAATTTAGAATCCCTGATTTTAAAATATGCCGTTAATAGCAATTTCTTCATTCTTAATCATTAGGAAACATCAACCTTAAACGCTAATTACTGAAACAAAATAATAATTTAGGTTCATAATGACATTAGAAATTTTACGATTGTTTACAGATATTTAAATTTAAGATGATATAATTTTGCCTTTCTTTTTGAAGAAACGAGGCTGTTTCTATTTAGATAATGAATTTTTATAAAAGTTCTTAACGATAGAAAAAACTTATTGCTGTTTTATATTAACTGTGTCATTTCGGAATCCATTATTTACATAGTTGTTCATTTACTTTAGGGAACACGCGGAAAATTATATATTTTCCTTTTGTTTTTCTATCAGAATTTTTGCAAGTTGCAATCGCGCAAACTGGCATTTCGTTAATAGTTTCAAATTTTTGTAAATTCCCTGCAAACTCTGAGGAAAGTCATTATAGAAAATAACAAATGTCTTAGAATACGTCACAAAAAGAAATGCTCCAATATTAGTTAGAGCTAGTAAGGTCGAACGCTCTGTTCTTGAAGTAAAAGTGCGAGCTTTGCAGCAAAGTGAGTCACTAGAGAAAATCGGAGGATTGGCGCGTCGAGAGTTTCTTCAAAGGAGTGAACCAGCCCTTCTATCCTCTCTTTAGCTTTGATATAAATGTCCTTGTTTGAGAGTTGTCCTTCAGTTAGAGGTTGGGCAGCCCCAAAGAGCAGGGCACATCAACCTGAGGTCTATTGTACCTAAATCATGATCACAACCTCGACAAAGAGAATTATATTCAATACCCATTATGTTTAGGTGTCTCCTGAGAGTGCAGTGTCCAGTGAGAAGACCAATGATCTTCCTTAAACTGTTCCTGCTTAGCTTAAGGAGCTCTTTTTGATGTACACTAGGACAGTCACAATTCAGCTCTTTAGCTTGTCTCTGACCATCTGAGTTGCACTATTGCTCACGGGCAATTTCGCCATAGAGCTTGAATATAGATGCCCAGAATGATGTGGGAGAGATCCCCTAGGTTGATTTAGGGTCCCAGAAAATCACACTGGAGACAGCCTGCACTGCTTAGTCAGCCAGCTCATTTTCAAGAATGCTCATATGTCCAGGTACCCAATGTAGGTATATTCTTTGAGGCAACTTTTTGTTGTTTTTATCCATAAATAGATAAGTGAAACAAAAGGATAGATTAGGCATATTTTTTTAATTAGGAGAAGTTTCAATAGTTAAAAAATAATGGTGAAAGCATAAACATGTCTCATTTTTATTACAATAATTTGCAATAAATAATTCAGTTAACTAACTTATCCATATTTATGCAGAAAAGAAAAAATCTCGGAGAATTTTTTTTTTTTTTTTGGACACAGAAAAGGCCAAGCTATGCAGATCTAAGTTAAAGAATTTAAACCCAGAAACCGATACTAGTTGACAGACAATTAATAAAAGGCTACATATTTTATCTTTATTGTGTTGTTCTATTATGATATTTTACTTCAAACTTTTTACTGTTTAAAAACAGGCTAGATTTCTAGTTTTGTTTACTTTAGGGAGTAAATTAAGTTTGGGGGTGAATTTAAAAGTGTTTCAAAAAATGTTGCAGATAGACTAACCCAGCAATAAGCAGAAAACTGAATAGTCAGCGGAAAAATAAACTTTTGTCCAGAGATATATTTCTATCAGTAAATTTGTTAAACGGCGAATAAAGGCTATAATTAAAAAATAGACCGATTTTCAAAGTTTGTAGTGAAAGAATTCTCAAATATGTATCATAAAAATAAAATAAAAAATCACAAGTAAATAAAGGCTAATATATCAAATATACTAACTTTGCCTTTATCGATTGCTTCATTTATTGTCATGTCGAGATTGTGATACGTCTGCTCTTTAGCTAATGCCTAGTAAACAATTTAAAATTATAATTAGTATGACAGAAAAGTAAACATATCATCACATTATTTACAAAATTCGCTAGCTATATATGGTTAAAAAAGATCTCCTTAAAAAAAAATTTTTACTCTAAATTGACTGCATTAACAAACAAATTTTAAGATTTCCTTTCTTATGAAAAAAAAAAAAACATTCCAGTTTAGTAATTTGCACTGATACATGAACATGAATTAGTTTAAAAGGGTGCCCCTCCCCCAATAATTTATTAAAACATACGAATTTTTTAAAAAGTTATTCCTTTATTTTAAACTCCTCCCCAAAAAAGCTTTTTTTCTTTTAGCAAAAACTAATAATTCCTGATGGCTTATATATAATTAAACAAAAAATTTTTATGATTATCCTTTTAATGAGGGTGGTATCTTAAGAACCATTAAAAGATTTTTTTTAATTGTTGCAATTTGAACTCAACAATTTCATTGAATAAAATTTAAAGTAAGTAATTTAGACTTTCACAAAAAAAAACATGTGTCAGTCCCCCTAACCAAGTTATTTTTACTTATTTTATGCTACACCCATGAATTCAATTGCATGTATTTTGTTTTACTTATTTGTATGTAGTTTTTTTTATTGTATTCATAGTTTTTGATTAACTAAAAACAGCACTAAACACACATTTATGTAAAATTCTTATTTTAATATTCACTAATTCAGAACATAATTTTATTACTTTCCGATACTTTATAAAAATTCAGTTCATTTTTCATATATTTTAATCTAAATTATATGTTGCTTTACAATATAAAATCAGGAAAAGTAATATGTTTATAAACAGCACTATTTATTTTGTAGCAAGGATAATTTTAATTTTAAAATTTTATACTTACAAAAACATCAAATTTAGCGAAAATATCTAATAGGGTATTATTTTCATCCACAATCGGAAGACCAGACACCTTTCGTTGAACAAAAAGATCCAATGCTTCTATGACTTTAGTATCAAATGTAACCTGAAAAATTTAAATATTATTTTTAGATCTTAGTCGAAATAATGTTATGAAAAATAAGTTAATACACGACTACTTCATGTATCCTAAGCCTGATACATACTGTAAATAATAAAAATCCAAGTTTTATAGACATACAACTATAGTAATTACAGAAATTCAAGTTATATGATATGAACAGTGCCTGCCGTATTATTAAAACATCCGTTCGGAAGAATGTTTGATTTCATAAGGCGACTGGATTATTTTTTATTTTTATAAATCAATTTTTATAAGCCAGAATGTCTATACTTAGGAAAAAAAATTTGAAGTTTAACTTAATAAATACAATAAAAACTGAGTTAATTATTAAATTTGTGTTTCATTTTTACAGAGTCTACACTTAACATTTTGTTTAATTAGAAAGATACAAAATTAAAGATTCAACATAGGTAAAAAAAAAAAATTTAAACTTTTCATGTTTCCTTTTTTTGTAAGTTCATTGTAAAAGATGAAGTGTTTTTCTGACAGCTATTGGATAGATTTACTGTATTAAATAAGTGATCATCATTGACATTGAATGATGATAGGCATTCTATAACCTTCCTCAATTCATAAACAGCTTTTCTGACAGCTATTGGATAGATTTACCTTATTGAATGAATGATGATCATTGACATTAAATGATGATAGGCATTCTATAACCTTCCTCAATTCATAAACAGCTTTTCTGACAGCTATTGGATAGATTTACCTTATTGAATGAATGATGATCATTGACATTTAATGATGACAGGCATTCTATAGCTTTTCTAAATTCAAAAACAGTTTTCATTTGGACTACTTTATATTTCTTGTTTCATAATTTTTTTTAACTCTCACTCTTTGATTTCCTCAAAAAATGAAGTTCATACCGATAACTTTGTTCATTGGGGAAGAATGAAATTGCTTTTAATATTGTTTCAAAACTTGAGAAAATGGAAAGAAAAAGGAGCTTTTAATTATTTGTTTAAAACTTGAGAAAATGGAAAGAAAAAGGAGCTTTTAATTATTTTAAATATATGCTCTACAAAAATTTGATTTGATGAAACAGGGATGATGATTTTATAAACGGAGAGATTTCAGCATGTTTTGATATTGTAATGATTGCTTTCTTTCTAATTTGATTTTAAAAAGCAGCAGGTTTAATAAACCAGTTATTTTATTAGTGGCAGTCACTAATAAAAGTTAAACTTTAAATAAGTAGGATATATATTATAAATTGCTCGAACCCAAATATAAAGTGACAATTCCTGTAATTATTATTAATTAAAACTGTTATGCAAACACCAGAAAATAAGGTTTTATATTTTAAATGCATTATGTGTTAAAACATGCACATTTTAAATGAAATACCTTTGGCATGTTTTGGTTTAAATGTCAGCAAAAATTTAAAACTTTTGACATTTTATGAGAATTTATTCTTATTTTAAGTAGGATAATAGAATCATTTTTCGAAATACAAACTTTTAAATTATTCAAACTCATTAATAAAGTTGAGAAAATATGCAACACTTAGGAACCTTTAAATTTCAGTCATATCTTTACGAAACTATACGAGATGAGAGTAAAAATTTGATATCTCTATTTCATTTTCTAATAGCCTTCTAAAGTTTTTTTTTCCTTTATTCAACAGTTGAAGCAAATAAATTTTTAAAGTCTATAAAATTCTATACTGCACTGTACAGAATTTAATTGAATGATAGAAAAGTAGTTGTTTTAGAGAGCGCAATTTAATTTACGTTGTAAATAATTTCATTTCCTCTGTCACGGTAACTTTTTTTAAAGTTCAAAAAAATCATTTTAATTGATCTCATACAATGTAAGCCCTTAGAAAATATTTTCAAAATATTCAGATTGGTATATTTTGGTTGGGTTGGTAAGATATTTCACTAAATGGGAATTATACAGGATTTAACATATTGTCTCAATTAGAATGCATGTGAATCCTTTAATGCTTTCATTAAAAACAAAGATACAAATACGGCCAAAGAATAAAATTTTCTTCTAGTATTTGTTAAGTTTTATGATAAAGTAAAAACTGTAAGTGATTTAACAAATACTAAAATCTTACTTTTGCTATATCACTGAAGGTTCCCACGCCTAGTTCTCTGATTGTTTTAGATAAAAATGAAGGAGTTCTCACTATAGTATTTCCAAACCTTTGCATAATCTACAACAGAATGTTTAACTATTTTATCCATGTTATAAACAGCATTAAAGAATCATACAGCATCAGAAAACAGATTTGTGTCTGCTAGTTTATGTTGTTAAGTGTTTGGAACTTTGATTGTAGTTAAAATAGCAATAACCTTTTATTGCAATCTTCAAGGAACAACTGTAAATTGAATTGTCATAAGGCACAAAGCTGCACTTGATTATAAAATACTTAGCTCATAAGAAAATGGAATAAATTCTGAGTGAAGAGGAATTACCTTTGACGATAACTTCTATTAATTATTTCCAAGGAAAGATTGAAACTTGTACTGTCATTCAGCATAGAACTCTAGCCAAACTTTTTGAGCTCAAAGATTAGTCGAAAATTTACTTGACGATGAATTTCCTATTCTCAATGTTTTTTTTTTTGTTTTTTTTTTAATGGCGGGCACTTGGAGCTATTGTCCATTGGCCACAGAAAGTGCCCCAGAACTGCTAATTCTCTTTTCGTTACCCAGTGGGCACCTGTGGCGAAGCCACGGCGGTGGAACAGCGTCGCCCACGTCACACTACCACAACCCGTTTATAGGGCGGGTCACATTCACACACAAAGGAGAAAGGACATAGAACACAGGAGGGAAAGAAACATCCATGCCTTGCCCGGGATTCGAACCCAGAACCTTTCTGATGCAAGGACAGTTCCCTGCCCCCTACACAGACTGGTCGGCCCTATTCTCAATGTTATGGCAATAAATTCTATTCTCTGAAAAATATTCTAATTTTTATGGTCATGCTGTATTAAGCTTCAGTTAAAATGTAAGCATTATAGCTAGTCTGAAAGTGATAAATTCTCCTTGCAATGGTAATAATTAGAATGCAGAAAGAGAAATGTGATTTATGTTTAAGGTGCGATTTATCAGAGAGCATAAGGTTCAAGGGTATCGGAATCAGAAACTATTTTAAATAATTACCAGCCCAGTTATTCAAATAATTTTAAAATATCTGGAGTTGTATTTTTAACTTGTTTAACCAGAAACTTATTAGAATCCATTTTATTCAAACCCTAACTATTACAGATCTTATCAAAAAGCCAATTTTTGATAATGTCAAAGTTTCCCTTCAATTTTCAAATCAAAAATTTCTCTTCAGGAACAATATTCCTCATGTCTCAAAATTACTTTTCATGATGCAGACATTCTAAATTATTCTGTGTAAGTCTATAGAATAACTTACATTATTATACAGATAATGCAGCAAATTTTTTCTTGTTAACACAAAGAAGGAGCACTGCCCGCCTTCATCCAGAACCGGAACCCTATGGACGCCTTCTTCTATCAATAACTTGGTTGCTTGTGCAAGACTGGAAAATAAAATTCACAGTTCAGAAATATTTGAGTTCTCTCACTTGAAATATTAACCCTAGTGTGCATACTATTTTGAATCTCACTGGATTCTAAACACAGGGTGTTTCGTAAAGACGACCCTTAATATGCATTTTATCAATCCTCATTAAAAATGAAATGAGGAAAGTATATATATATAGCAGATCTCAAAATAATATGCGAGCAAGAAAATGGCAAAAACGCTCTTGAAATCTTACAAATTGCAGTAGAGTAATGTGAATGTTATAAATATCAAAACTGGTTTAATTATAAGTTAAAACTTAAAGGTGTTATAATAATTGTTTTTCAACTCCTTTATGTTTCCTTTATTACAATCCTCTAATGCGATTTTTCATATTTCAATATCATTTTTTTTTTATTCCTATCTTTTTTTATATAATCATTTGTAATATTCTATGTGTAATTTTTTTCATATTATGTATACATGTATATCTATTATAATTTAAAATACATTATACAACAAGATTGATATTTGTGAAGAAATAAAACATATGTATAATATATATAGCAAAATATAAAATTTTGAACTTACTTATCCGTCGCATTTATCTTAACCACAGGTTTGGAAATTCTGTTAATTTCTAGGGAAAGAAAGAAAAAAAGTTTTAGAAATGAATATTTTTCAAAAATAATGAATAAATAATTGTTTCATACTTACTCCTCCACGTTGAAATGCTTTGACTTTCTATGTCTTTTATGTTTTCCTGAAAAGAATAATTTTGTTTACTATTTAACATTGAAAATGATTTGAAATAAAAATTACAAATGTATCATTTTATTTTAAATATTTATAGGAATAAAAGAAAAAAATTAATATTGAAATTATTTCTTTTGATACTTTGTTTGGGAAAAGAAACGACTGTTTCCACCATGACGAGTATGTTTAAACGACTAAAAAATATGATTTTTCAGTATCTAGTTGAGAAATTAATGAAAAAACTCACAAATAGCTTATTTATAAACGTGTATACACACACACATATATATATACTTAAAACGTTTTTTTTTTAATCATACGTAGAAAAATAATAGCAAGTTTTGTTGGGAATATATAAATAAAAAAAATCCTCAAAAAATTACATATTTTAAGATGATAGGTTTGCATATTTTTACATAATTTAAGATGAAAGGTTCGTATGACTTATAACTTTTGAACAAAATAAGATTTTTGATAATACAAAACTACTGATAGATATTTTTAATTACACAGCACTAAAGCTTCTATAAATCCATTATGGATTGTAAACATTCACCTTTTTCCGAAAATAAGTGGGAACTCTCAAACACGATGTTACAGGATATTTTTAAATTAAAACATATCTATTATAAAGGAAATCGCTATCAATATTATTTTACTAGAAGATTCAGTCAAATTGTCCCTCATCAATGACTAATAAATTTAAATAATATTAGATAATAACTATCTTAAATAGAATGTAACCGGGCCTATTTTATCAAGTTCATTTCAGTTAGATTATCTGCATGCAATTTGAAAGATTAATAATTTAACGTAATGCCTACAAATATTTAGAAATATCTCTAATTCAACATTTTAACTCACATGTCAGTTATACAGGAAATATTACTTACAGGTGAATTACTGTAATAATGCCTCAAAACATTGATAAAATCTGATATTGTCAGCATTCCTAGAAAACAATTTTGTATCAGATAAAAACAATCAGAAACTTGTGTTGCATCAATATTTATTTATTTAATATACATATCATATTAAATAAATAAATATTGATATATAACATTTATTCAATTCTTCATGTAACACATAATGTTCCAAATAATAAGAATTAAAAAAAAAGAAAATTATTTCATATTTTAATGTGCAGCAAAATATTGTAATATTTCCCTTCAGGATAGCTAATACAATGGTTGGTAGTAATCATGTAATGGTAGACATTCATGTTTAAATGGATGCGATAAATAATTAACAAAATATGTACTAGCTGATCTTGAATGTAATTATTATAATAAGAAACAGATAAAAACAATATTTTTCATGCTACAAATGATTTTCTTAGAAATATTTCAATGATTCAAATCATAAAAAAAATCATTAGACTTTAAATTCTCATTAGAATAAATACCACACACATTGAAATAAATTACTCTCTAATTATTTTTACCCAATGATCAAATTATCATTAAGTTGCTATCCTCACATATCGCAAAGATTGAATTCGTAGTTATTACATGAAATTAGAAAAGGCAAATTTTTTGTTGTTGTACTGTTGCGAATGTAGGAAAAAATTCTACAAATAGTTAGAAATGTGTCCATTTAGTTATTGCTTTCTTATAATATTTTGGAACTGCAAATGTAAACTAAGGCATAGATTCACGTAGATAGTTTTAATATACCAGTTCAATAGATTTCAGTTGATAATACCGCTAAAAATAAATTGAATGGCTTCTTTTATAAGTAATTTTGCAACAAAGAAATTAAGTAATATTTGTTTATTAATATACTATCTAAATCAAAAATGTACTGAATTCCCGACTTGCATAGTGTGTTAGAATTATTACCTTAATTATAGTAATCAGTCGGACTAAAAATTTTTTAAACGTAACTAAATTTGATAAAGGTGAACTTACCTACAAAACTAGATATTGACTCATCCCATAAAGGGGCAGCTCTGAGTTCTGGAAAAGATTTTTTTTGTTTATAAAATACTGCAAAAATAGATGAAAACAGATAAAACTATATAAAAAATCACGTACCATTGTTTACAAGAGCCTCGAATGCATTTTTTACCTGAAAATATAATGAAATTTGTTGATTCATAATTTAAATCAGAGTTGAAAAAAGAAACTGAAAATTTAAAAGATTGTTAATTCCATTTGAAAAAAAAAAGCTTTTTTTTCTGACAATCTGTTATCGCAATGATCTCGAACCTTTTTTTTACAACAGTCAACGTTTGAAAATTTTATCACGTCCCGCTGAGAGGAAGGGACGTTGATTATCTATAACTTGAATTGTTTAGATTTAATAACATTAATTGTATTTCATGCCTTCAAAATAAAATACAGTTGCATCGAAAAATAAATTTAGTGATTTAATATTTTAATTCACTAGAACGCAAAACTAATAAAAATCCTGAGCGTGTTTTTTTCTTGTTGTTGTTGCTACAAGACGGTTCTATTTGGAGATAAAGGAAAATCACACCCGAAGTATGCTGCGTATATCCAGTTTAATTCGTTGTTTTTGGTTGCTGTCGCTGATAGGCTATGAGAAATAGCAATAGGGATTTAAGTTCTGTGGTATCAATCTTAGAGTTATAACCTCTCGTCCATGAAAAGTCCTACAAACCAAGAGTCGTACAAATACCATAATAAATAAAGTTAAAACTAATTTATGTTCCTTGGGCGGCCTTGTATCATTTGATCCACGGATCGGTACCTGCACGGGGTTGGGAACCACTGGGTTATTGCTTTTACATCACAAATTGCATCTCTATAACGCAAATGCCGCTAGTTCAGAATATTTTTACAGTTTTGCTTGTATTTTAATTTCGGGGGGACAAAAAAGATAACTCTCTTACCAAAAGCTCAACAGACAGCACAACAACTTTACCACTGACTGGCATCACATCATAACATGTACGGGAGCTCAGAAAAGTGGGAATAATTTTATCTTCAGCTAAAAAGAGAGAAAAAAATAGAATTAAATAGAGTATATATTCGCAAAAATTAAAATCCTTTAATTTTGTAAGATTATTTTATCACAGCACAGTAATTGTTTTGAAATCGATTATTAAACTCATTGAAAAAAGTGAAGCGGAAACTAAATCAATGACACATTTAAGTTATCAAATTTTTAAACAAATTGTTAATTAAAGGAGTTAATGAGTTAACAGTTTTCACATATCTCGTAAATGGTCTTATGCGCATTCAATTTTACTTAATTCAAGTCAATTTAATTTTATTTACTGAATTCATTTCAATTGTTTCAAATTTAGCAAGAACCGTGTAGAATAACTTGAAAATTTATATACAGCGCACAAATAAAGTGAACACCCTGAATAACTTTGGATCTAGATCGGATTTTCATGCACTGAAGACTCAATCTTAATGGTTCGAGAGAAAGTGACCTCAAATATGCTAAATAATTTGCGCGAACGATATTTTAAGTTACGAAATCAGACAAAAAAGCGTATTCTCACTGAATAAATATATATTTTCTTACGCATTTGGATTTCTGACCCTAAAAATATTATTGGGAAATTCGGGTCTGGGAAAAAATATTTTAGTCAGGAGAGCTATCCAAAGTTTGAACCCAATAATGTTACATTTACTTTTTGCGTATTTCGCCATATCGCCGAAACTAATGAAGCTAAACAAAAAAAATTTTGCACACAATTATAAAATTCGTTTATGCAAGGCTATTTTCAATTAAAAATTATTTTTTAAGAATTATTTATTATTTTTGCGGTAACTTAAATATGCAAATTAAACAGCGATATTTTATGTTACGTAATCCGACACAAAAAAATGCCTACTTTGAACAAAAATACATTTTATAGACTGGTTTGGATTCATGATCCTTAAAATATAGTCCCAACTGCTCAGTCAGGATAGCGGTTAAAAGTTTGGACTCTTTAATGTTAATTTGGCTTTTAAGGGTTTTTCACTATATTTCGAATACTCGAGAAAATCGAAACATTTTTGCACATAATTAAAAAAGTTATTTAAATATAATTTCATGCAAAAAAATAATTTTTATAAATAATTTTGTTGAATAATATTGGAAAATATTTTAATTATAAAGCTTGCCATTTTTTGCATAATTTTAAAGTATGTAATTTTAAATTAAAAAAAAAATTGTTTTTGAGTTATCCAATTTTAGTCGTATAGTTAAAATTTTATTTATAGAAAACTATTCAAACGACTTCGCTCAAATTTTGTATATTGTCATATAAAATTTACTTTAAAATGCTGTAAAACCATAAACTAGCCTTACGGTTTAAATTTTTTTACATTCAAATTTTTTTAATTTACAGTTTTGTCAACAAAATGATAAACAATCATTAATTTTTTTACAGGTAATTATTTTTGGAAACATAAATTTTACAATTGTAAGAAAAAAAATTTCGATTTATTTAAAAAAAATACTCGATTAATCGATTCATTTAAAAATGCAACAATGTATGTTACATTCTTAAATTACATTTTTTTAAAAAAAAAACATATTTAAGCTGTTTTTGTCACATGACGCCATTTGTTGAAAGTATATATTTTTCTTTTTAAAAAAATGCAACCAAAAACCAAAATTACATTAATAATGAGTTTTTCTCGAGAGCATTTGGAATTGGAAAAATAACAATTTACAAACTATTTTAAATGTGTAAAAACATGCAAAATAAATATATATTTTTTTTTACAATTAATATATTTACGTTAAAAAACTACTTTTTTCTCCCAAGATAATAAATAATGATATTCCCCTTTAATGATTAAATGTTTACTTCCATCGATTTTTATTCAGTTTCTGGTATATATAAGAATTCACGCGAAGCAAAAATTATGAACTTTTAGCTCACAATTTCCAAACACGAAATTTTTATGGTTTATTTATTTATTCGAAAATATCTTTTTCATAAATGAAAATGAATATTTAGTAGCATGCGTGTTTTTATTTAAAAAATGTTTTGCAAATATGCAATCACGAAACAAAAATTGAATGCTCAATAAAAATATGTATTTCCAAATTTGTTGGGAACAGAAGACCAGTAACAGATCGATTTCCTCAAATCAAACGCAATGATTTTGCTGACAAAAAGTGTTCAATATAAAATATCTTAAAAATTATTTATCGAACTATTTAATTAAATTTAAAAAAAAAAGTATACTATTTCTTTTTGGTTATTTGGAGAGATTAGAGTTGCAACAACTTCAGAGGAACAATTTTATTACGCAGAAGTTAAAAGATGGGAGATAAAGTGTTGTAAGCTCGAATTGTAATAAAAAATTTTAATTTAAAAAAAAATATTTAAAAACGATGTCAATTTAAATGAAGCTCATTCCCTTAAGAAAAATTTCTAAAAAAATTTATATCGCATGATTAATTAGTAATTATACAATTGTAAATATTATACTATTTTCAATTCGATACAAAGCTAGAGCAATAATGTTTTATTTTAAAACCAGCGTTGAATAAACTGCCGACCCAATTACGAGTTTACGCCTATCAATGTTCAATTCCGTAGCTTAGTAATTTTGAAACTAACCCAGAATACAAATGAACTCCTGGATCAAGCATTGGGACAAAGTAACCTTCATAGAGGACATTTTGATGGTACTAACCCGCATTACCGTTACATGGAGAGGAAAACCATGGAAACCTCCCACAGTTAGCCTGACGGCAACGGGGTTCTAACCTATGATCCGCCTATCACTGTGGTTATCAGCACTGTGGTCGGTGCAAGCGGGAGCAGAATTCGTATCAACTAGCCATCGCCGGGATTCGAACCTAGGTAACCTTATTGGAAGGCGATCATTCTATTCCTGAGCCACCGCGACTCTAGAGTAACATTAAGTAAAAATGCTAACTTTAAAGCAAGACTTGAAATAGCTCAGTTTGTTGCAATTAAAGTAGCAATCACATTATTTTTTTTCCAATGGCATTAATTTAAAAGCAAGTGCAAAATTAGACGGGAACAAAAGGTACATATAATTGTTTAAAATATGCTAAGAAATAACTAATTATCTAGCAATAGTTACTTAACTTATTTAATACAGTACACATATTCCTCTTATATACCTCTTATATATTCCGAAGTTATTAAAAATTTAGTTTCATTATTTAACATTGAAAAGGCGCATATCCAGTTTCACTGATGAGCAGTTCGATTAACAATTAAATTCTTAGTTATGTAACAAAATATATCCAACGCATAAATTTTAAAAAACTCATTTGACAGCAATACGGAATTTTACGAAACCAATACAATTAGATAACTTTGAAACTTAACTTTAATTAGATAACTTTGAAATTCAATTAGATAACTTTTATGATAGTCATATGAAGTCTGAATTTAGATAATATAAAGTTTTTCCGGAAAATTATGAAAGATCTTATGTAAAATAATTGAATCTTTTGTACGTTTCTTGCCATTAGTGTACAAAAAAAAAAATTCGTGAAAGACGAGATATCTCGTTTTCATTAGAAGGAATTTTTAGAGGCACCAAATAAATAATCGCGTCTTTAGAAGATGAAATTCTTAGAAAGATCAAAATAACAAATTCCGAAAAGGTCTGTAGTATAAATAGTTCTTAAAACAGACCAGTTATCGCGTCTTTAGACAGAAACAGTTTGAAGTGGGGATTATTTTTTAAAAAGGAGAACTTTTTAGAAGGTACGAGGTATTTTGGTTTTAGGCATAAAAAATTTTAAGGGAGAAAGTGGCACCTTGTCTCGAGAGTAAGAAATTCTTAAGGAGACGAGATATCTCGTTTCGAGTAAGAAATTCTTAGAGGAGACGAGATATCTCGTTTCGTATGGAACAATGTATAAGTTAATAAAGGCTTACTTACCAAGACTGGCATAATCTATCCTATCAACCTGAAAATAAAGAATAAGTTTTTTTAGTTCTCTCTGTAAGCTTTTGAACAAATATTTTATCACTAAAAACATTTAAAACTTCTTTAATTTCAATAAAATTAAATGTAGTAAATCATTTTATTTGGTTTAAGAGCTTAATTTTTATAACAATGGCAAAGAACTTTTTAAAATTATAAATTTTGTAACAGCAAATAATAAATATGCAAAGCTATTTAAGAGATGAAAAAAACAGGATAGTAAATCATACTTTTTTCAGCAAACATGAATTTAAGCATGCATACTAAAGTATGGAAATGTATACCTAATTTATAAAAGACTGATCTAACATTTATTAGAACTAGTTCCTTAAAATGTGCTAAGGCAACATATCTCTTTATCAAAATATATGAAATGATGTACCATATGGACATAGATTAAGCCTAGAAATGGAATGATGGACGAAACTTTTAGAAAGATTTATTTTTTGTTTTTACTGACAGCAGGCAGGCAATGAATAAATAGGAATATTTTGTTAGCTCTAAATGATAGAACGATTTTCAAAGACAAGTTAAAGCGCGTTTGAAATCTTAACCCAATAATGCCCAAGGTGGTAATGCATATTTATTTATACCAAATGGATATATCTTTCTGATGCCTTCATTTCAACAAAAAGTATCGAGTATTGGCTCAGGAATCTAATATAAACATTTATATTACTAATATGTTATGGTTAACAGTTATCTTGATTTTTTCAAAATAAAACCAAATAATAAAACACCTTTGCTACCATTTTTTTCTTTTTTTGAATAAAGGAACCGTCATTCTAAGAGGACGTTCGGCAAAATGAGTAAAGATAACATTTAATTCCAGTTTCTTTTTGATCACATCTATACGTCCTGATGATATTTCAACTATGTTTAGAAAGCAGATGTTCTTTTAATATTTCAATACATTTCGACAAAATGGTTTTTGTTATACGTAAATATTAATAAATACAAATAAGTTACAGGCTTTTTATCAACAAATAAGAATTTTTAACATAAAATAGTTTCACAAAATATCCAACAATAAATTATTCTAAATTAGTAAGCAAAAATCAATAAAAATATGAGAACGCAAATGACTATGGATTGGACACACTATCAGAAAACTGAAAATTCTAAGTAAAGCAAACATTGGACACCTGTAGATAAGGGAAAGAAGGGCAAACCTAGAATGGCATGGGGCAGAACTATTATGAATGAATTAAAGACAAATAAAACCGAGTCCTGGTGGCTCAGGGGATATAGAGCGTTCGCTTTCCAATGGGATGAACAGGTTCGAATCCCAGCGATGGCTGTCGATACGAAATCTACACCCGGTTCGCACCGATCACAGTGTTAACATAAAATATCCTCATTGGTAGATGGAACATGGGTTAGAGTCCCCTTGCCGTGAGGGATTTTCGTAGTTATCCTCTCCGTGTAACGCTAATGCGGGTTAGTTCCATCAAAAAATCCTTCATAAAGGCAAAAATTTTCCAAATAGTTGATCCAGGAATTCCCTTGTCTTCTGGATTGGGTTCAAGATTACAAGGCTACGCAATTGAACTTTAATAGTCTTAAACCCAAAATTAGGTCGGTTGTTCAACGACGGTTGTAAAATAAACAAAACATAGAGAGAAATAAAGTTCTTGGCCACCAACAGAGTGAGATGAAAGTCAAAAGGCCCCATTCTCCCCTACGGAGTGAAAAGGTGTAAGAAGATATACTAATAGCCCTTTTCTTCAACGATGTGGTGAGAGCATCAGTGTCAAACGCTAAGCTAAGCTTCGCCTAATTCACCTAACTTAAGAGTTTTTCAATTCTAGAAATCAATAAGTTTAACTTAATTTTTAAAAGTCAACAATCACTCTAACCCTATCACCAATTTTACCTTGGCCCCAGTCGGGATGGATATAGGTTCTATAAGAACACACCGAGGGACCAATATCGGGATGTCTAGATTTTTAATATTGGTCCAAGAATGACTTCTAATATTTGGTTATAACTATTTTCTATATAGAGATGATATTGGCTGTAAAATGTAGGGTGATATGGACAATTCTATAGAGCAGTGTTCTACAACCGCCGGTCCACGCACAAATGGTACATTCATATCCTTGAAACTGAATTTTTATTCCCAGATTTATATCCCAAATTTAAAATATCTGGTAAGGAATGGATCTGCGGCCCATTTGTCAACAAATCGGGCGAATCCAGCATGTCTGTGCAATAAGAAGATCAACTGCTGGAGATTGCAAATGATGGCGGACTTAAAAAAAACTACGTTCGAGACAACAACTCTGCCGGCGTTCTGGATTAAAGACATGGCAGAATATCCCGAGATTGCCACCACAGCACTTAAATCCCTATTGCCATTTCCAACAACCTATTAGTGTGAAGCGGGGGTTTTCTGCAGCAACAGCAGCCAAAACAAAGCAACGGAATAAACTGGACCTAACCAACCTTAGAGGAGATATTAGGGTAGAGAGAGCCAGTCTATTGTTTGGGCTCTGAAAACTTGTTCCAAGATGGGGGTTTCCTTCTTGGCGAAAAATTCATAGCTGGCGGTCGCATCGTACAGAAATATTTTCAAGAGTACCTAAAGATTTTTTCTCTCTTTTATTTTATTTTGAATGCTTTCCCAATTTTATTCGTGGATTGTAAAAGATAAGCTTTCAAATAAAAATACATTATAGTATGTGTGCTACATTTAATTATTTACTTTTAATTGCTTAATCATAAAAAGCTAATAACATATTATTTAAGTATGACTTTGCCAGACAATGAAATAAAAATAATGATTTTTTGAATCGAACATACATTTGAAAGCATGTAAAATATAAAGAACTAATTGCAAATGATTATAGGTATTAATTATTTTTGTCAAAACGTCATAAGAGAAATAACGTCATAAAGAAAAATAATTACTTACTTCAATAGAATTTAAAGAACAGCAAGAAAATAATTAGATATCAATATTTTATTTTAAATAGTTAAAAAAAACATTATCATTCTGTTTTATATTACATTACGGTTTGAACTATGAAATATATTTTCATTGTCAATCTTTGTTTAAAGAAAATCATCTTATCCATTTGATACAACATTTTGGCTTGATATGCAAAATATTTTCTAAGTCATTACTTTATAATCCGTAAATTTTAATGAGGAAAAAGAAATAAAATGTAATTTGTGAAGTTAGGAAATACATTTAATTTTTAAAAATACATCATGTCTTTTTTATATTACATTCTGACATGAATTATAAAATATGTTATCAGTGTTATCAGCGATAATAATTTATTTCAACCAATGCATACAATTAAAAGTTTAGTGAGTTAACATAACATGATAAAAGTATTTAAATTAAAATAACAAATTTTGTTAGCATAACATGATGAAAGTATTTAAATTAAAATAGGAAATTTTTGTCTTGTTATTTGTCCCTTTATCTTATTTTTAAAAAAAAGTATTGCGAAATTCCATATAAGAACATACTGTCTACCAGTTGTTTGAAACATTGANAATGAATATCGGCCAAATAAAGGCTCAAAATTATTTTTGGTGCTAGGGAACTTACAAAATCAACATACACGTGGCACAAAGATGTTTCACCATGTTACACTTAGATTAAGAGATATAACTAAATAAAAAAATAAAACTGATGACATTGATAAAAAAAATACTTGAATGAATCCAAGATTATCATTAGAAATTAAAGAGTAATCGCTTACTACAAAGTTAAATTAATCTAACAACGCATACACACAACACTGAAGTGTGATTCCAGCGAATTCGAGCACGTTAAATAAAATAGTGAAGACAGAAGAGCAAACAAAATAGATTGAGATTACTTACAGGTGAGTAGAGATAAGAAAAGGACATGGCACACCCCTTAATGAAGCAATTAGAAAACGATATTTGAGAACCTCCACACATTAGAACTACTGATAAAACTGATTGAAAGAGAATCGTTCGAAAAAGCCGACTGATAAAGATCAGTAGCAAAAAAAGGGTCTATCTGTTTACAAACGAACATTTGAGTAGTAGTAAAATAAGTAAATATCTACGGTACAAGTGGATGAAATGTTTGGAATAAGAAAGAGAAAAAAGTAGACCACGAGGCGCAAAATTATCACTACGCGTGGTATTATCTAAAAGTTTAAGAGTGCGGAATATTATCTTTACTTAAGACTTAATAAAATTATCTCGTGAGAGCAAAGAGCTTGAAATTAATTTAACAGGGTGAGTAGCCGAATTATTCAACAAAAAATAAGCACCTTTTAAGCACTTTTCAAGTATTCAAAAAATATTTTTTAGCACTTTAAAAAAATATGATTAGGCAGGGTTGGAAAGTTTTTGACAATTGACGGTTTTATCTTGTTTTAACCGTCACGTCAAAAAAAAAAAAAACTTTTGACATTTTTTTTTTACGATTGTCAAAAATCATGAAATTTTGAATCGTGTAAAACGAATGGCGTTTTCATACGCTACGGACTGACAATACGCCAAAATAGATTGGGGTTGAATTAATTGTGAAAACGTTGAATAGAACAAAGTGAACTATGTCTTTTTGCATAATTCGAAGCTTAAATCAACATAGTAAAGGAAAAATCTTATTTTGAAAACGGGAAAATAAAGCACTTTTTTAAAACAGCCAATGAAAAAAGCACCTTTAAGGGCTTTTAAAAAACGAAAATCGCAATTAAGCACTTTAGAAAATGCTACGCACCCTGTTAGAAGGAAATTTTAAAACGGTTGTAGAGAATAAATTTTTTTTTAAAAAAAACTTACATTTAATTAAGCAACAATCAACTTTAGAATTTGTGTATTTTATTCATATCTGAAAAATTCGATTTCGTCAGTAAAACAGTTTGGTTGTAAATGAAGCTTTTTTTTGCTTTTTCGAATACATATAAGTAGGATTTCAGTAGTATTGCAGACAAAAGGACATTTTTCTGTTTTATTTTATAACCGGCGTTGAACAGTCTACCCGAT